AATCATTAAACCAGGAAGTGGAAACTCTTAATAAAAGAGAACATGAATCATAAATTAAGGTGCTTTTAAATTATAGTGCTTTGGCAAACAGGGCATAGTGTCACAAGATTGAAGGACTATAGTTATTTTGCAAGAAGTTTTGGGTGTGTGATTTTGCAGTAGTTTTTTGAGTGATGAATGCAATTGGTTTTGAAACAGGACGATTGCAGGGTTGTTTTGGCGAAACAGGAGATCAACAGACTACTAGAAACTCTGCAGAAACAGCAGCAGCAGTTCACAGAGATGGCTGACCACGTTCAGCTGGATGCAGGCATCCCTGTCACGTTCACCAAGGTAAGTACTGTCTCCAGCTGTTCCCATCAAACGTCTGGATTGGTCATCCATTCAAGAGCTGGCTTCCCAAAAACACTGCAGTATAAGTGGTCATAAGATTCTGGAGATCGTTTGAAAAAAGGGGCTTTCTTTCATGAGAACAGTCTGGTGGTGTTCAGCGGCAAAAATTGACAAGCTTTTTTCACAGCTATAAGAAACTGAATTGTGTTTCAGGACAACCGTGTACATATTGGGCCCAAGATGGAAATTCGAGTGGTGACGTTGGGCTTGGATGGTGCTGGCAAAACAACCATTCTCTTCAAGCTGAAGCAAGATGAGTTCATGCAACCCATACCAACTATAGGTAACACGATTCAGAAAAATGATATATTGTTCTGATTTAAAGATTTCTATTTCCAGTTACCTACTTTACTTACTTATGTTTTTTTCCTCTTTTTTTAGGTTTTAATGTGGAAACTGTTGAGTACAAAAATCTGAAATTCACCATCTGGGATGTGGGTGGCAAGCATAAGCTCCGACCCCTTTGGAAGCATTATTACCTCAACACGCAAGGTGATCTGTTGTTCGTGCTAATATAACTTCAGTTTTATTTACAAAGGTATAGTTCATTGAAAAATCATTTACCCAATTTCCATTTACCTCAGATCAATTAATCAGCCAAAACAGGCTTGGAGTCCAGATTTTGCTTGCTACATGCTAACATTGCTAACAAACACTAGAAGTCAGCAGTCACCCAAATAGCCCAAATTGTTTCTGTCAAAATACATCCCTAAAACCTCCCTCAAACTGCATCCAGGGGTTTATTAAGCTTGCGCAGATTTGTCGATTATTTTTTGGGCTATTTGGGTGACGTGATTTCGAGTGTTTGTTAGCAATATTAGACTTAGTTCTAAATTAAGGGAGCAAAATTTGGACCCTGAAAATGTTTCAGCCGATTGCCTACATCTAGGGTAAGTGGGGAAAAAATATGTAAATATGATTTTTAGCTGAATTATTCCTTTAACGATTTGTTATGAATTTCTTTATATTGTAGCCAGTGTTTTCACGTTTGTGCTGTCATTCAAGTATAAAATTCTGGCTGTGCGTTTTCTGCATTTCTTCATTTTTAACCTCTGCTTTCTCTCTTGCTCTGCAGCGGTCGTGTTTGTGATTGACAGCTGTCACAGGGACAGGCTGATGGAAGCCCACAGTGAGCTGGCCAAGCTGCTGACTGAGAAAGAGCTGAGGGATGCTCTGTTGCTCATCTTTGCCAATAAACAGGTTAGACAGCGATGTTATCTTGGTTCTTCTACTCTAACCCCACAGCACAGTTTACAGCAGTGTGCTCTGCTCTAACATGCCTGACATTCAACTCATCAGCCAGCAAAGTCCATCATGAGTGCATTTTAGGCTGTGTTTGAGAACATGTGTACCTCCAGCTTTAAAGAGGCATTTCGTCTTAAAACAGCATTTAATGTTATTTATCATGTTATATATGAATTTAAACTAATGCTCATAGTTTCTTCTATTACTCTTAAGCTTTATCACCTGCCTGTAAAGCTCTTTGAGATGCCACCAGTATGAACAGTGTTCTATAAGGATAGTTATTGTTATGTAGTGTTCATTAGTACAGTATTTCATCCTTTAGCCTCATCGCTTTGACAGAATTCATTTTGTTTAATTTTTGATCTATCAATGTTCTCCTAACTACAGTACTGAGAATGCATTATGCAAATTTTTCATACAGCCAGTGGGAGTGTACACCACGACGCTAAAGAAATTCTGACTGTTAGTGTAGCCACTGAGGCTTATAAATACAAATATTTAGCTTCCTAGCAGTCATGCTAGCTATCTGATGTTGTTCCTTGTTAGCCAAAAAAAAAAACATTCTAACAATAGTCTAACAGATACTTTTTTAAGTATCTTCCCTAAAGCATTTGTTTTTTGAGAGGATCCTCTCACTTTTGTGTTACATAATCAGAAAGGGGTTTTCCTTGTCTTTAAACCTCTAGAGACTACTGTGGCGTTGCTGTAGGAGGCAAATAGGCATGTGACAACAGATGAAGCAGTGGTTACATTTTCTATTTTGGCTGTAGTGTCCCTTTAAATACTTTTGACCCACAATCCATAAATATTTTGACTTTGGCAAAGTTATTGTTTTGGATGTCTACCACAGCATGTTGGAGTTTAGATAATGAATATGAGCTCAAACTGCAGATTTTCACATTACAACCATTTTCAAACATAGCCTCTCATTTTAGGGGCTCGATAGTAATTGTACAAACTAACCGTCTCAAAAATAACTTGTCATTTTTAATCTTGGTCGCAAGTCATTTGCGGTCATTGTATGTAAATGTAAATGAATGTACTGTAAATTAAAATGGTTGTAATTTCTACACCGTTCACCCGATTTGGATGTAAACTACCTCAAATTAAAGCAGAAAGTCTGCTTCCAGCTCGTATTATTTGATTTCAACCTCTGTAATGTCTCCTTTCGCAGGACGTCCCTGGAGCTGTTTCAGTGGAGGAGATGACTGAGCTACTGAGCCTACACAAGCTGTGCTGTGGCCGGAGCTGGCACATCCAGGGCTGTGATGCACGCAGTGGTATGGGCCTCCATGAGGGCCTGGACTGGCTCTCACGTCAGCTTGTGGCTGCTGGGGTTCTGGACGTGGCCTGATGGTGTGCTATAGGGATAGTGCAACCAAAGCATGGCTAGCACTGAATGAAAGCTAATGAAGACCAGTTAGCATGACCTCATTGCGATAACACACCTGCAAGCTTTCATTCATTATCCGCAATGTTAGCTTTTTTTTTAGGGGGCGGGGGCTATAAAGTAAGTTCTTACAGTTGCAGTGTGCCCACCCTTGCTTGTGGTCTCATGCTAACTAAACTTTCATTTTTGTTAGCTATGTTAGTTTTGCCAAACTATCTCTTGGATAGATTCATTCACTAGGATCCACTTCTCTTACTCATCCTCCATCTTGATCTTCCATCATATGGTCTTCTACTGTTAGTCTTGATGCTTAGTGCTGTTGTGGCTAAATGTGTTCATAACTGGAGTTGGTTTAAGAATTCCTTCAAAGAAACCGTTGAACTGGTCAACAGTTATTTTAGCATTAGGTCAGTTAGTCCTTATTCTTCTTACAAAAGTCAAAGGTTATTGTGAGGAACTAAGTTAGCCTTTTCTAACAGAACAATTTGCAAAGTAAATAAAAGTCACATCATGACTTCAAAACAGATAAAATAGTAAAGTCTCATAGCGTCTGTTTTCACCTGGCCAAACATGGCATGGACAGAATAGATTAAGCTACTAGGTATATTTACCAAGGCAACACTAAGGTTAGTAAGACAGAACAAAGTATCACGAGATATTTAACAAATGTGAAGTGCCTGTAGACTTCAGGGTCTACTGGAGAAACAAGAACATCACCAGTAGTCAAATCGGTGAGCACCATGTGAGTTTCTGCATTAACATAATTGGCCCCTTAATTCTCTCTGTCCAACTGGTTTGTTCTGTTTTTATTTGTTTTTTATAATTTGCTTTTTGAATTCCGCTCGGGAGAAAATGAGTGATATTTATTTATTGCAGTTTCGTGGTCTTAAAAAAAAACTGGTACATTGGTGCAGGTGTGAATTTGCCAGGTACGGAGTAGCAGAGATGTCTGTTACATGAAATGTTGTTACTGGTTATTTATATTTTAAAATCTCTCTGATTTATGAATTGTTTTTAGGTGAAGTGCAGTACTGCTGTGCAGGGGGAACACATACCATGCCTTCTATTAACCTTCCCTTATGTGGAGCAGGAAAAAAAAAGCTTTTAGTAGTTCACCTGTCTGTTGCTTCATTTTGAATGGCTTCCTGTGAAACAAGATCACACAGACCTACTATTGACCTGACCTGAGAACACTTCATTCTTACTTTACAGCTCAGTTCTATATACATACACACACACTGCGTCTGTTTAGCTGTGGTAATATTGAAACTGTCGCTTGCTATGTTTCCATCAAATTTCCTCCCCACCCCAAAAAAGTGGTATAACATTCTTGTTTCCTTTGCCAACATCAACAAACTGGGTAATGGTCATATATATGTTGTGAATGTTGACACAATATTCTACTTAAGTGTAAAAATGTTTATTGATACCTAAAGTGTTTCACAGTAAATAATGTTAATGCATTCACCCATACATTTACTGTCCTCTGACATAGCTGGGAATTTCACAAAAGCAGGATTTTTCAGTTTAGGCAGATAATGTAAGCCTGAAGTCAAGCATAGTTAACAGGGAAAGAGCTGAGGGACATTCCTATTAAACAGGCTTGACTTTAAGCTTAAATTATCTGCCTAAACTGAAAATCCTGCTTTGTGAATAACTCCCCCAGACTAAGAAGGACATTAAAGTTCTTAAAATGTGGCCATTTTTCAGCTCTTACAGAAAGAGATGCTCAGAAAAAGCTGCAGTTTTTCAAAATTGAAAGCACTCAAACAGCTCCATATGGCAGAGAAACATGATCGCTCATGTAACGGTTCGAATGGGGGGGGTCATTTTAAGAAAATATAAAACAAAATTGTCAGTAGGTTATCAAACAACATTTAATTGATCAACCAAAATATATGCAACAGTTTTTTTTTGCAGGAAAGATAATTACAACTTTTAAGTCAGTCTGATGGGAACAAGCTGCTGGGTACAAGCTGCTGGGTAGCATTTTCATTTTATGGCTTGCAATTTGTGCACAAAGTCAATGGAAACATAGCTAGTGACTCGGCGCATACATCCTCCGAGCTAGTTGGTTTGACGAACCACCCTTTGGTTTGAACCATGTTTTTCTCATTGCTATGTAATGTTTTACTGACTGTAGGTTAAAGAGCATGTGTGAAGCCTTTCCCTCGTTCTTCAGAGGACCACAGTTTGTGAAAGATTTCCTTCTTAAGTTTGAAACCTCAACAAGCACAGTGCACACTTAATACATTTGTTTGTTGTGAACTTGACGATGGCTTTTTGTAAAAATATTCATAATTGTTATGCTATTAAAATGTTAAAAAAAAGAAAGCAGACATTCTCTTGTCTTAAACATTTGTAGATCTCTGATAAATACAGCACTGTCTGGAAAAAAGACTCTTTATTGTACAGAATAATGACACGACAGTCTGCGTAGGTGAGGAATCTACTTGATAGTTATGTTTATGATGCTCACGTCTTCATAGGGCTTGTCGGTCTTGGGGTTGACCTTGACATTGGAGATCCTCTGGACCACCTCCATTCCTTTGGTAGTCCTTCCAAATACTGTATGCTTGTTGTCCAGCCATGGCTGTTGAAAAACGCAAATAAAAGAACTTTTAGCTTCATACCATTCAACAGCATTACTAAAGGTGAGAAACAGGAGACGTGCAAGTAAAATTATGTAGACTGTATGTAAAAGTTAGTGATTTCTGTGTTTATATTGCATATTTAAATTTTAAAGTTATTTTTACTCCACTAATTCCCTTAGAGATTTCACTAAACCAGCACCGCTTAAAAGGCTTCCTGCATACTGTTGTGATCAATACCAACACCTCATAACTCCAAGGTCATTATTTATTTACACATGGATTGAAACCATAAACTGTTCTTTGCAATGTGTAAACATTTCATGATAAATGGACCAATAGTAATGCTTAAAATAAATGTCAATATAATACTATTTTAGAGGTATTTCTTGGATTTATTGGAGATATTGCTTATGTTTCATTTACAAATGTAAAACACCATTTCAGCCTCTTAATAAGCAAATAATGCCATTTAACTTTGGCCAAGTATGTGAAATGTGCTGGGGTTATGTCATGTTCATTTAGTCCACACAGTACTTGGGATATTACAAACTAATCAAGCTACACAGAAATCTGAATGGGAATAAGGGAGAAAAAAAACCCACAACCAGTCATAATCTGTGTGTCCCTAATTGTTAAGTTACTATACTTTTTTTTTATAAAAATGTTTGATTAAATTTGTTAGAGGAGTATTGATACTTATATCCATGTAGTTTTAAGACTGAGTATAGTTCATCAGTACTTAATCCACTGCTGGAGAAAAGTATTAAGGTTCTTACAGTGGGCACCACGGTGATGAAGAACTGTGAGCCGTTGGTTCCCGGACCTGCGTTGGCCATGCTGAGTGTGTATGGTCGGTCATGCCTCAAAGTAGCATGAAATTCATCCTCAAACTCGCCACCCCAGATGCTCTCTCCACCCATGCCTGTCCCTGTGGGGTCTCCAGTTTGGATCATGAAACCCTGTACAGAGATGTATGTAGGTGCTATAGTTTCACATGTTCCACAAAACAGTGACAGGAGTACAGTGTTTTGGGAGCACTCATGCTCTCCAGCTCCACACAACCAAACAATATTTTTCCTTAACACTACAGAGGCCCCGATAATGAAGTGACTAGCTACACTAGATCAGGGATAGAAAAAGCACTAAACTGTTAACATGCTGTGGTTCTCAAACCAGAGCTGGAGAACACTGCATTAAGTCGGAAGTGTGTATACCTTAATGACACGATGGAATATGTGACCATTGTAGTAACCGTTCCGGCTGTGGACACAGAAATTTTCCACCGTTTTCGGGCACCTGAAATTTACATGCAAATTAATTAATTTACAAACAAATGAATTGCTTTAAAACAATGCTCTACAACCCAGGTCCTAGACAACTACCTTCCTGAAGTGGCTAGTTCCAACCACAATCAGTCACACCTGCTTCAGCCAGTCAACTTAAACAGAAGTTCCTGATTGGCTCGATCACATATTACTGTTAGGTAAAGGGAGGGGCAGCAAGTTAAATGCAGGTTGGAATTTAGCTCTGCAGGAAAGTAGCTCTCCCAGACCAGAGCTGGAGACCACTGCTCTAAAATAATGACTGAGCAGTAATCCAATCGGGGAAATAATAAAGCGTAATGGCTGAGATGCATACTCGACAGGGAACAATTTGATATGGACGTCTCCCATAGTGGTGTGGATGATGGCGCTGTCCGAGACCCTCTTTGGCCCTTCGGCCTGTGTGGCAGCCATGACCTCCTCTTTGGACGGCTTCTCATTGAAGATGTCCCTGTCAGACTCAGCACTCTTGGTGTCCTCTGGCTCCCTCTTTGTAAACTGTCAGGGTCAAAGTCAGTCACCCAAGTCTTTTCCATAAATACATCACCAAAACTTCTCTCAACCAACTCAAACCATATTCAGGTCTTCATTAAGACTGCACAGAATTGATGTGGTTTAGAATACAGTACGAGCTATGAAAGTGAGGTAAACTTCACCGTGTACATTTTTAGGCAGCAAGTGTTGTCTTTTCCTGCATGCCATATGGAGTCTACAGATTACAATCGTTGTTCCCTTTTTATAAATAACTACTAATTTTGATTTTTGAAAGGTAGTTTTGTGCATTTGTTTAAAAATAGAAACAGGAAACAGAAATGTAATCATGCACCCAAATACCTGCATAATGTTGAGTCATTATGTGACAAACGTCCTGGCTGACTGACTATTGTGTTAATTGGATTTTTAACAGAACCACTGCTTTAAAAGGACATCTGATTCTGGATCAGTGTTTCTAGCCAATAATGAATGTCAAAGCCAAGACATTTGGCACAAACTTAAAACTGGATGCTAGATTAACAGTCTGAACTTAGTGAATGCGGGCCCATGTCAGAACACTCAAGAGGACAAGAGGCTCCGTTAAGAAAATAAGGCACAGAAACTAGCAAGCTAACAAAGTCATCCAGTAACATGAGTTTGATGCCCTGACATAATCTTTTTCTTGTTAAACAACTCTGTTAGCCATTTCTTTGACTTCTTACCATGTAGAAGCGGTTTTTCTTGAAGGCTGTGCAGAAGATGGTGGGGTCGGGATTGGTGGTCTGTAAGGCGGGGTTATCAGAGGCTTTCATCTCTATAGTGGGGGCTGCCGTCATGGTTTTTGCAACCCCTTGGAAGAGACTCAACTGCACCACACGGATGTTCTCTTGCTTCCCTAAGATGCGCACACACCTGATCACAGACAGAGAACATGATGTTTTGAAAAGAAAAGAAACAATGTATTGTGAAGTGTTTGATCCCCATTTACTCCACCTTGGGGGGGCATGGCAAAAATATAACATCACAATATTTCATGATATAGCCATGATCCACAAGACGCATCACAAATATTTAGTCTTTTTATGAGGTTTGATAAGTTGGAACAGACAAAAAAACCCATCAGCAACCTTTAAAAAAAATACAAGCGAAAGTTATGAAGACAAATGTATTCAATGTTTCACATGCTTCACTTAACTAAGGCGGCAGACTTGCAGGAATACACCTAATCTATTTTGGCCTACATGTATGTCTGTACTGAGACGATATTAACCACCAAAACCATCAAGGTGTTTCCAAACCAAAAACCATGGTCGGACAGAAATATAAGGTCTCTGCTCAGGGTACGAGATGCTGCCTTCAGGACAGGCAGTGTGCTGGCCAGCAGGAATGCGCCGAAAAGGAACTGATGAATGGCATAAGAGACACTAATCTCTGGTACAAGCGGTGCACCCAAACCTGGATACAGTATATGCTAGCCATCTACACAAGATTGCTAGTAACATCAGTAGCCTCCAAAAACTTCAAATTCTTCAGTCTGTTAATTCAAAACTTGAATTAACAGACTGAAGAACAGCTTCTTCCCCAGAGCAGCAGCCTCCATCACCCCCAACATCCCACAACTGTTAAGAACTGAAGACTGTACTGGTTTAACTATCTAACTTGTAGTGCAATATCTTTTTATTCTGTACACTGTCGCTGTTTATCTGACCTAACCAAGTGCCTTTGTTTATTATATACAGACAGAGAACACTACTTCACTGTGTTTTGTTTTTATCGCTGTTGAGGACTGAGTACTTCACTATCCAACTTGATGTGCAATACCTGTTTAGACTGCACTGCTTGCACTGACTGTTTAAATGTCACATCCAAGTGCCTTTATTGCCTTAATGTTTTCTATTGTCTCTATTATCCTGTTTTCGATTGCTGCTGGTCTCTGAGAATCACCAAACAAAATTTTGTTGCATGTCTACAATGTGGCTTATTGTTAATCGAATTAAACAGGATTAATTAATTATTTCTGCCCAACCATTCCATACACATACTGAAGCCCTGAATCTTGGGCTACATTGTTCTCCATGCATTGTATAGCTTTAAATAATAACTAAATAACTATCTCAAAACATGAACAGATACCTGTTTGTCTCCACATTGATGACCTTGATGCCCAACATGGTTCCGTAAAGCACAAAGTGGCCCGTCTCGTCAAAGATGATGTTGGTCAGTCGAATCCCGTCCACCTTCTCCAACTCTCTCTCCACGGCCATCCTGCGGCCAAACTCCATGTCCGGCAGCTGCTGCCTCATCTGCTGCAGTTCTGTGAACATCTGTTCGTGCACAAGAAACATGGCACATGTTAAGTAAAATCATAATTACAACTCTGTACCTAAGGAAATGTAACTGTATGTGATTACATATTAATTGAGAAAACTGTAGAGCGTAGAAAATTAGAACTTCTAACAAAAATGGATATCCAGAATCCCTCATATGATGGATGACTAAAGTGGTGACTAAACAGCTATTGATGGTCATTCTGTGACCAGAAATACGATTTATTTTTAATAACACGTTTTTTTTCACCTTACCACAAGTTTTTGTTGCCATATATTGTGAACAAACCATTGGTTTACATTTTGTGTCTATAACAGTTCAATATATAAATATATTTCAATCCATAACTTATTACTGAATAACAATTGTTAATATCCTAAAATATTTCACACTTAGTAGTGTGGTGTATGCTGCCAATAGTTTCATCAAAAGTGAATCACCACTTAATGAATCCAGTTCTGTGGTGCATCCTCACCCAGAATAGACCAAATAGTATTCTGTTAGCACAGGACCATAACTGTGCAGGGCTACATGTAAACAAGAGCATAAGTGACGTACTGTTAGAGATTCATCGAACACTCTCATCAGCTTCCCCGTCAGGAAGCGGAAAATCCTCACTTTGCGATCGGCTGCCATGGTGGCCATTTTCTTGCCGTCATGGGAAAATGCCAGGCTGGTGGGATGTGTTTTACATTTCGCAAACTCATACAAGTCTGTGTCTGTCTTATACTCCCAGTCCACCTGTCTGGGGAACTTAAATTCACTCGGGAGGCCTGTCCAGTACTCCAGCATGCCTGCTCTGTCTGCTGAGACAATGACGCGATATCTGGGGTTGAGGCGTATCTGACAGAGTGGAGAGGAGTGCATTTTATCAAAAGTGTGCAGTGGCTGATTGTTTCCACGCCCATCGTAGACGTGTATTTTCCCAGTGGATTTCTCAGAGCAGGCCACGGTAGAGATGGCATCACCTGGATTATAGATCCATTCACACTGACCAGGGTGGAACCTTAAAATAAATAAATTTAGAAAATTCACGTTAAACCATATATTTGAAAGTCGAAACGGTCAGTCTAGTCCAGGGGTGCCCAAACAATACTGAACCATATCAAAACACTTGAGAGCTTATCACAAATAAATTATTTAAAACATGAAATTCAAAACGTGTAACACAAATCAGTAGAACATTTATTGAACTAGAGAACTGGCTCTGACAAAAGGCTGCAGCTGCGGGATGAGGGTATCTTCCCGCTGCTTTAGTTTCTCTGCCTTCACCTCTTGAATGTTCATCATACTTTCCATTAGTAGTGGGCAGTACACCAGGTCTTTCTCAGGTATGAGTCTTGTCATAACTGTTATACCAGTAGACCACAAATAAGTGTAGATAGCGTGTTTAACTCTCATATTCTCAAAGGTGATATATCTCAAGATTTGAATGTGAACACACTGCTGTGGAAGTGTGTGTGGGATGCACATATGAGAAAAATGAGAGAAATTCAAAAGCTGAATTTGGCCTCTTGTTACACATTCTTGGCCCACCTTAAATGGTGGATGTGTTACATTCGGGCACTGTTCCATTTAAGCTGGAACAGAAAATTCAAACAAAAAGCTGCTGCGTAAGAGGCCAAATTTAGCCTTGCAGAAACTTGTGAAACATGTAAAACAACACTTAAGGCCGAATTTTGTCAGACCTTGGGTTCGTCGTTTTTTCCATTTTGCACTATGAAACTTTAGATTTACTTTTGTTGTTAAAAACAGTTCTTATTCAAAGTGAAGGGGCTTCCCAGAATAATAAGCCACTGTTAATTTCCAAAAATAAGTTTATTTAAGCATCTGAAATGCATTTTATTCATTCAATTTGGAGGCAAAAATAAAACATTTTTTTGCCTACTGCCACTGTCCATGCTTTGTTTCACAATGCCCTCTGATATTACATTGCTTAATTGCCACAATAGTCTCTCGACATATGTGACACAGGCATTTGCTATGGCTCTTGATGAAAACTTATTCTCTACTGAAATCGTCAGTTTTCATTGTCAACTTCGTGCTTTTGTGGCTGTTGTCATAACTAAATGTCATTCAGTACATTGTACATTCAGTACTATGTTAACACAGTGTGATGTAGTTTACAGTACTGTGGCAACCATAAGATGAATGGGGGGAAAAAAAATTAAAAAATACACAAATCAAAAAGTATTGACTCGTGAGCCATTCCAAGAACTAAGCCACAGAACTAAACTGGCCTTGGAGTTGAACTCTGGACACCCCTGGATTAGTCCTTTGTTACAGAACTGGAGAATGATATCTTACCCAAGTTTGATCATGTTGATCATGTCAAAGTTGACAACATCGAATACCTTCATAGCTTGATCATCACCAACAGTGCAGAGGAGTGCACCTTCAGCACTGACTGAAATACACTCAATCACACCTAAAGACAGGAATATCAACCAGGATTAAAATGTGTCATTTAAAACGAGCACTTTAATAAACAGCAACTTGTAACAAAGCTACATCAGCAAACAGTTAGGCCCAATCCCATTTCACCCCTTGCCCCTACGACTTATCCCTACCCCTCTGTTTTGCGCATTCATGCCTAGGGGTAGGGTTGTCCCGACTGTTGTTGGGATAGAGGGGTAACGTGAAGCGTTAGGGCTAGATGGCCCTCCAAACTGAGGTTTTTCAGAGGCACGCTCCAAACGGAGTTATGAGTCTAACTACAACAAAACTTATTTGCAATATATCCTAAGTACCACAAACCAATCCACCAGTATTCTCAGGCGTTGAAGACTTCTTCGTTTTCTAACCTTTTTCAGATTTGCTGCTGACTACCGGCAAAACTCGTCATGTCTGTTTACATAAAAGCCACCAATGACTACTGATGACGTGTTGGGTTCTTGAAGGGTTGTCCCATGTTGTAGGGGAAGATTTCAACCACTTCCTCTTGTAACTCAGTTCCAAAAGGCAAGGTAACACTAAAGCAAGGGGTAGGTGTACAAATAAAAAAAAAGGGAATGGGTCTTTCTGAATCAACAAAAGTAACTTACTCAGGTGGCTACGAAAATGCTTGACAAACTCTATTCCCTCATCCTCTTTCTTCTTCCAAAATTTTACATGGCCATCCTGACTTGCTGTAATAATGAAGTCTGTTCTGTAGATAAAAAAAATAAAATAGTTTAAGTTACCATTCCACTCATTCAAGGCCAGAAACTTAAAAGCTGACTTATACTTCTGTAATGATGCACATAACAAAATTATGCAGCTTGCAAAGATGACTGACAACTTCTTCAAAGCAACCTAACATACACTATTATGCTTATTGTAGACAACTTACCTGGTGCACGCAATGTGAGTGATAACATCCCTGTGCATGTAGCTTCGCTCATACATGGCAGCAGATGGTAAGTTGTCCAGGTAGACTCTTTCATACTCGAGCACTGCAAATGAGGAAAAAAGGCTTCAAGATCAACATGAAATGTAATGCATAACTCATTTTCATTCCATACAAGCAAAATATGGTATCAGGTGGAAGGAGGAGGTGACTATACTATTTTTCCCACCTGCTGAAGCATGCCAAAGAAATCAAAAGGCATTTTAGAGGTGGGAAAAAGTCCCTAGATTTTGATGGAAGATTACAAGAAAACTATTTTGTTGTTAAATTATTTGGTATAACGTAATGTACTAAATATGACCAGGGACATGAATTTACAAGGTAAATAAACTGACCATTAGGATTGCAGTTTGCTTTTAAATCAGTGTTTTCCAGCACTCTTCCTGCAGACCAGTGGTTCTTAATCCTGGTCCTGGAAGTCTCCTGCCTGGAACATTTTAGTGTTATTCCTTCTCTAAGTCAGAATTCTTCACAGTGGCAGTGATTATACTGTTTTAGACATTGTGACTCCTGGTTCCTATTCTCTGTTAAGACATCTGAGTTGGATTCTCTAAAATGCACCATTTCACATTAAACCACTTGATCTACAGAATGGAATTATGTAGAAACCTTAAAAATCTGTGGAATTCTCCTTTAACATTACCTTCATGAGGTCGCCCCTGAGCTCCACTTACAACATTTGTGTGATTTTGTGGACCAAAAACAATCATAACTTATCTTTACATGACTATTTTCCAACTTTTGTGTGTGTGTGTGTGTGTGTACGTATGTAACACTTTTCAGCTTTTCAGACAGATGTGGGCATAGGTGTGTTGATTTTTGTGACATTACAGAAACTGTATATTCAAAACAGGCTGTTTCTGCACCCTAGATTCCATTCATGGACTGTATTGATGGACAGGGGAGTGAAGGGTACATTTTGAAACTAACAATTTTTATGTCTTACATGAAACGCTATTACTTCTACACAGTGAGGAAAATTCAGCTTTCCATGATAAAAGGTGCAGCGCAGGGTGTCTCCAGGACCAGAGCTGAGAAGCACTGCTGTAGGCCATTTTTTCCTGCACCAGATCATTACCCAACATAATGGTCAAATTCTTCTGGAGATATGGACACCGGAAAACATGTTGTTATTATTAGGCAAACACTGGACGACTTCTGTACGCTGTTCCTCATTGCTGCTGGAACCCCACAGTATCCATCTGCAGAGCCACAGCTCCGCATCTTCAGCCTTTATACTTTCAGCTCCCTCTGCCCCTGTTCAAGAACTGCAGCTGCACTTTCAGCTCTCACGAGTACAGAAGTACATGGTGGATTGAACTCGCACTACATTATTCCTATTACATTTTTTTTGGTATTATTTGTATTTATGCCATTCAGCATGCAAAGGTCTAAATCTTCACTGATTTGCTGCTAGTTCACATAGCCAATCTCCCTAATCCCTATGCAACTAGTGTACTAGGTCTTAAAATAATCAATAGAGTCTAGCTGCAGACGTGCACCCTCAGCCCCAGTGACTTCATGGCCGTAGGCACTCGCAGAACGGCAGTAACGGCCCAAACGGCGCCTTTAACATTTGGCTGCTTCTGCTTGGCAAGTCCAGAGTTTTCCTTTACTATCTCAATAACCATATCATCATCACATAATCCATTTCAGCCTCTCTATCACGAGCTGAGAGCGCGGTACTGGGGCTCTGCAGTTATTGGACCCTCCTCGCTCTCTCGCTTTATTAGCTGGCTCACTCCGACTGAACTTGTGAAACCCCTGTAGATGAAGACACTCACCCTTTCTCTTTTTTGTCTGAACAGCCTCACCGGGCAGGGGTCCGACCCACCCGTCATCTCCGTCCTCCTCTTCGTCTAATCTGCGTTTGTTTTCTGAACTTCCCTGCGTCGCGTCCGCAGCCATTTTTCAAACACAGCTTTCCTCGGCGGCGTGTTCACACTTCACAGGTCGGCTTTCGCCACAGCGCCACCTTCCGATGTGGCGGCCATATTTTCTGTTATGTTATAAAGTAACGAAGGTGTTCAGCAGAGCCGCTAAAGCGCACGAGGCAGGATGAGACGGGAATAGCGTGATCACGTGTTATTTGGACAGGACACTGTAACGCTGTGCAGTCTGAACTTTCTTAAGAAAGAAATGTGCCTTTTTTCTTAACTACACACGTAAAAAATGAAACAAGTTATTATTTTTCAAAAACCTTCTTAAAAATTTGATTAATTTGTTTATTTTAGTGTTTTTCTTATATGTCTTATATACAGAGCCCTGCTGGTGACAACCTGTATACATACAACTAAAGCGTGCCCACGACTTAGTAAGGTGTGGGAAGGAGATCCTAAAGCATGGCCACAATTTAGTAAGGTGTGGAATGAGATTATTAAGCCTTGACCACAGTTTAATAAGCTTAATCTTGTTCCTGCGCCTTACTAAGTAATGGCCACAACTTAAATATGTTGTTTCCACCCCTTACTAAGTTGTGGCCACGCATTAGGATCTTGTTCCCACACGTTAATACAGCATGGCCACATGTTATTTTTATTTATCTGGGATGTGACCAGCAGGGCTCCGTACTTACAAGAGCAGGTGGTATTCTTAAAAAAATGTTGTGAAATGTTTTCTTAACATTTAGACAGTCTTACCCTTCATGTCTACATAGGGAGCAGGTCTTGTTCCAACAGAGGCCGTCATGTTGCGCCGCCACCATAGGTTCTACTACACGTTTGGATGGGAGGGGTGAGGGAGGGGTATTCAGTTGGTTGCAACTTCACCAATGGATGCCGCTAATTTTAGACATTGCACCTTTAAGATCCTTCATAAGTTTTTTGTTAGGAAAGCCTTTGTGAATCCTGCCCTTGGTTTGTTTTTTAGCCCCTGCTGAAAAAAAGACCATAAAAGCCTTTAAGGGCCCATATCCTCAATTTTTCTTATTTTTTTATGAGGGTCCAAATCCCCAAGTTAAAAACCACTGGCTTACAGACAAAAAAGAACGTACCACCAAGGTGTCACCATATTACTTCATGTTTGGACAGGAGGCCAGGTGCTGCTCTAAGGTGTTCACAAACAATGGGCCTCATTCACCAAGTTTTTCTTAAATTTGTTCTTGAAAAGTCCTGTTCCTACTTAAGAATAAATCCCAAATAAGAAAGCAATGCTGAATGCCAGAATCTGTAAAAACAAAGTAGGTTTTAAGATGAAATTACTACCTGAGAACGGTTGGTAAATGAGGCCCCATGACGTAGTAATCTAATATGCTTTTTTTGCGGGTGTGCTCTCTGATGTCCGAACATTTTAACGAATCATTATCTGGACACATCACATCCACCTACAGATTAACAATAGTGGGAATGGTGTCAGAAGAAACACTGGATGAACGTTAACAGAGAGGAGAAATAAAAGTGTGGGGTAAAAATGCAGGGGAGAGAAGGCAGAGAGAGCTGGAGCACAGTGAGCTGAGGCATTTGAGTTGGAAATATAGGCCTGAGGTACAACCTTCAAAGCCAAATGAGAAAGAGTGGAGAATTTTATGTGGCTCTGCCAAGCTCTTGTAGAACCTCTGGCCTTGAGGAAGAATCTGCAAGTAACAGTAAAAGGCAGCTGTTAGCTGTGACTTGACATTCACCTGCAAGATTACTGTGATGTAGCTGCATTCTGCTGTACATTTACAGTAATAAGCTGTATTTCAAATTACAGTAATCTACTGTTTTAATACATGACTGTAAATGTAATATAATGCAACTTAGATGTACTGAGACATGAAAAAAAGACATAAAACATAACCAAAAACTGAGATCTTGCAACCAATAACAATATTCTTCCAGCATTTAAACAATCAAAAAAAAATAATAATAATTCCAGTAAAAAAGTCTTTAAAACATCAAAGCCTGAATTATTAAAATAAAACCAGTTAAATTAAAACCAGTTTTTCCTCAGTTGCTGTCATATCCCATGATGCTGTGCGGTACAGTTCAGCGTTAGTACAGTGCAGGAGAACAGTAGAGTATAGAAAAAATCAGGATCATAAACTCAACACATACAACATCTAAACCGCTTATCCTTCTGGGTCACTGGAGCCTATCCCAGCTGTCATTGGGGGGAAGGCAGGATACACCTTGGACAGGTCGCCAGTCCATCGCAGGGCAGACAGACAGACACACACACCTAGGAGCAATTCAGCATGTCCAATTGGCCTGTGGGAGGAAACCGGAGGAAACCCACGCAGACACGGGGAGAAGAGGCAAACTCCACACAGAAATTACCTTGCCGGGAATCGAACCCAGGCCACTGTTGCTGTGAGGCGACAGCGCTACCCACTGCGCCACCGTGCCGCCCTACACTCAATACATACACTTTAAAAAAAGATGGTTCTTCTGGGGCTTTTTAGTGAAGAAAATGGTTCTATATAGAACTATGAACACTCAAAGAACCCTTTGCATGCTTAAAGGGTTCTTTGCATAGTGAAAGTGTTCCTCGGATTAATGGAGAATGTGCTGTGGATGGTTCTTTGAGTGTTCATGGTTCTAAATAGAACCATTGAAGAAAGATCTGTTTTAAGTGTGTAAAGGGCCCTTGAAGAACCATCTTCTTTAAAGTGTATTTATTGATTAACTATTTTTATGTATTTTTTTTTTTGAGTTTATGACCTGATGCCTGAAGAGGCCAGTCTCGTTGTATTATCACAAATACAACACTAGATGTCGCTGCTAAAGCAATGAATATTTAAGGGTGCGACTGCAGTAAGAGGCCTAAAAACGCTGCAGGTTGAACCTGTTGAGGTTAAAAAAAAAGGTTTAAATGAAGCCGACTAAAGTTACCTAAAATTTATTTATTTATTTATTTATAAACCAAAGTATCCAAAGCATAAACAAACACTGGACAGAAATATTAGGATAATATTAATTATAAGTTGGCGAATGTAAAACATATCAATGCTAATTAACTGTTCATTTGCTGAAATCACTCAGTGATATGAAGAGGAAGCGCAGTGTGAAGGAGCAGTAAACTGCTGTTAGCACTGCAGGGTCAGCAGCCCAGTTCATCCTCTGGGCCTGTAATTCTCAGTGTCTCGTGTTACGAAGCAGTAATTATCAGCCAGAGCTGTGAAGATGTTTACTGCTTATTTTTACGTTTACTACCTCAGCTGTGAGTGTTTGTGACAGTATATTTTGAAAAGAGGCCCCTGCTCAATCAATCAGTCAATAAACAGACAACTGAATAAAAATAACAGATATACATGCATAAATAAACAATGAAATACACTAATAAATACATAAACAAACAATAACATACTGCCTCATAAAGAGCATTTTCATTCATCCATTTTATATTCAGCAACTACATTCAGCATAATCAGAGTTATCATCGTCTAATTATTATTCCTGAGCCGTTTTGTAACTTGTAGGCCTTATTTAGAGACTCCGACTAAGCTAAGTGGTGTAGTTATGAGAGAAGGGACTGGACACGTGACGCTTAAGCGGTTAAAGCTAATTAACAGTGACACTTTTTCCTCACTCTCCCTCATTAGCATACCAGCCCTGAGCGCCACACAGCGCTGCCGCTGAAGCGGAACATGCGCTCTGCTGCACAGCTGCGGTGACGTCACGCCGAACCTCCCGGCGCGGAGCGGCTGGCGCTTTAAAGCAGAGCGGAGAGAGCGGCGGGCAGCTGCACCGCACCGGCCCGCCTTCACCCCTCTGCCGCTCCGTTCCTCCGCTTTTATCATGAGCCTGCAGTAGCCACGAGACAGACAACACATGCAAACACAAAACAGCCTGGAAAATCTCTAAAAACAACAACAGCAAAGTAAACACGACAGCCGCACACGTGCTAATGAGGGAACTGGTTCCACGTTTATGGAGGTGAACTTCATTAATGGAGCTGCTGGAGTCCCTGCGCGCGCGAACTCTCCCTCTCTGTGTTACCGCATCAGGACAGCTGTTTTTATTTCCATCTTGTCGGCATGAGAGTCGGAGAAGTGTGGCTTGAAGCGAGAGGAGGGCTGCTGAAGATTGCACTGAGCTGAAATCCATTGTCTGCATCCTCTACAGTCAGTGGAAATGAAGACGGTAACTCACTCTTTTGTTAACAGTCTTTCATGCAGGGAAGGCACCTTGCTCTTCTCCACAACTTTCTCGAATTCGCCGGCCCCTTGTTCGAATTTTCCCGTTCCACCTTAAATGGTGGAGCAGTTACAATCAGCTCTGGCGCCAGAATGTAACTTCTGCACCATTTAAGGTGGACCGGGAAAATTCGAACAAGCAGCCGGCGAATATGAAGCCAACTTGCAACCTTCTAACTTGCGCAGGAATAATGACACAACAGCACTGGCTAGCACTACACTCTTTAAAAAGATGGTTCTTTAGTAAGGGAAGGGTTCTATTTAGAACCATCACTTGTACACAGAACCATGGGTAAGCCTGAAGCATTCTTTGCATGGTGGATGGTTCTTCGAACTGATGGAGAATGTGTTGTGCATGGTTCAATATGGTATCGTTTTGAAAATGTTTCCATATAGCACAAAAAGGTTTCTACTGTTACAAGCTTGATATCGTGACAACGCTTTTTTTGTGCGATATAGAGCCATACAACTCATTCTCCATCAATCTGAAGAACCATTTAAACACGCACATGGTTCTATATAGAACTCATGGCTCTAAATATAGCCATTCCCTTTACTAAAGAACCCTCGAAGAACCCTTTTAAGTGTGTAGTGATTCACTCACTGTGAGTGATGACTGCTTAGCTAATAGAATATTTAAATACTCGTGTTGTCAGTTGAGAGTTGCTCGCGCGTCTGACTATAACGTTTCATTTCAACGGCTGATGTAGTGAAGTGCACCGATTTTTAACCGTTTGTGTTCTTTTTATGTAGGAATGAAGTCGATCGGCTAAGTTTAAATTGACGTTTTAAACATCCTAGAGATGTTTGGTTGTAATTTTAGTTTATTTTAGTCAAGTCTGAGGTAAATTCAGGTTGGAAATGACGGTTAGTTAGTCACAGTCGCTCTTGTGGTAACGCTAGGCTAGCGTTAAGTTAGTTCTGTGAGGTTCTTGTGATTTAGGGTATTTTTTCATTCTTATTTAAGAGCCCAGTGTAATGTACTTGGGCCGGTTGCCAGCTGTCTGGGTCAGACACGTTTCAGACACCCAGCCAGACTCAACTCTGCCGTCTGGCTGGGCTTTTTGGTTCATTTCTTTCAGAGGCAGTGAAATGCTGAGCCGGTGCTTCGCTAGCGCTGCAATCTTAACGGTAACGTTAGCTAGCTTCTTCACTTTTCTCACACTAGAGAACTGACAGTGTAGTTTTGGTTAAGCTCAGACCTTTTTGCAGAGCTTCTTTGGCTTTTTTCCCCAGCTATCCTCTTTCTGGCCGGCTTTTCGACCTCATCATTGCTGCTTGTCCGGTGAGTTAGCAGGTCTTTGTGTGTGAAGTAAGTTAATATTAACTTTAGCCGATAATAGATAGTGGATAGCATAACGTTACTTTGCTTACAAAGAAAGCTACTCGTCTTCAAGCCGCACTCACTGTTTTGAGAAGACATTTGGCTCGCATGCATTGAATTCTGAGGTGTTGTGAGTGGCTGTTTCGTGCACGAGGCTAAAAAAAAGTGGACCAAATGCCAAAAGTTCCTCACATACACGGGTTTTAGCCGTGTGGTTTCAACTTGTCGTTTCGCAGGTGTGGGGGTGATCACCTGAAGCCACATTTGGCATCCCACTCATCACATATGAGCTCACTGTTAGCTCCTGTGCGATCACGAAGTGAAGTGGTGCAACTCCAGGTGTTGCTCTTAGATGTACTGGAGGCAACTGCTGTCCAACTTTATGTCTAGTTTGAAATGCTTGTGGGAGCTCAAAAAGTAGATTCTGCATTTCTAAGTATAGCAAACCCTCTAATGCTTAGATATAAGAGTTTGAAATGCCAGTGCCAATGACTTTCTTTTCCATTAAGCCTGTCCTGTGCCATTATGTCGTGATTCATTTCCAGGCAGACAAATGGATAGTTCAAGACAACCTCCCAATATAGATCTGCTGCTTTGGAATTACTTGAAGTAATTTGTCCATGGATTCTTGCACCGCTCATGGCTGACACGAGTTAGGAGGCAAATGCAAGGCAGGTCCGGAGGCTCTGACTTTCAGAAGACTTTTGAACCCTGGATGAATCGCAGACTTAAAGTTCAAGAATATCAAGGATGCTCATCACGGACCTGTTATGGTGCCAGGCTGGATTGACTGAAGTGTTTTAATCCTTGTGTAGCTCCCCCATCCCCCGACCCCACCCCATGTCAGATCTTCTCTAAATTATGGAAATTTTGTGGAAGACGCTGACTTGGATATTGAGCCTGCTCCTGGCCGCTGCTGATCCTCAGAGCCTTTCATACAATTCTCAAGGTAAGACACATATAAAATAGACTCGACTGTAAAACGGTCTTAAATATGTGGACTGACACTTTTTTCTCACTCCTAAAGCTTCATAACTTACATATTAGTTTCACTGGTAGTTAATTTACCAAATAATTTAGAGTTGTTATTGAATATCTCAAGTTTAAAAACAGAATAATAAGCCTGCAGTTTAAAGCATTAAAACTAGATGTTTAGGCTTACAGAGTGCAAGGTGTGATCAGTTATCTTCGCTTCATTCCAAAAGATGTGCAACCAAGCTTTGGCTGAGTACCATTCTGTGCAACATAGAATCATTTATGACTCAGATATACATGGGCAACATGTGATAAAACTGTTAACAGTGAAAGCGCTGCTTATTTATCCTTAGACAGTTGCAGATTGTATCATTAACTCTTATCCTCTCCCCTTCTTTTCTCTGCTTGAAATGAAAAGAGGAGTTCCTGTCCCACCTGGAGGACTACCAGCTCACGGTGCCCGTTCGGCTGAACGAGAAGGGTGAGTTTATGAGTTACACTGTGAAACAGCACCGGCCCGGGCGACGGAGACGGGGGCTGGACCACCCTGGACCGGAGCCCGCTGAGACCACACTCTTTTACCGACTCTCAGCCTACGGCAGGCACTTTCACCTGAACCTGACGCTCAACCCCATCCTGGTTTCAAAACATTTCACTGTAGAGTACTGGGGCAAGGACGGGCAGGAGTGGCGGCACTCCATGGTGGATGATTGCCATTATGTTGGATACCTAATGGATCACTACAGCACTACAGGAGTGGCACTGAGTAACTGCAGAGGCTTGGTAAGTAGAGAAAGTTGACAGCTCCTCATCTTTGAGAAGATGTACAAAAAAAAGCTATTATTAATTGTCAGCTGATTACAGTTTCCTATTCTGAGATCAATGGGCCTCATTCACCAGTCGTTGTTAATATAAATTTTATTTTTAAACCCCACTTACGCAGTCCTGAAGATTCTGACATTCACCACTGTTTGTTATCTGGGATTTGTAGGCAAGAAGAGAATCTATGCACAATTAAGAGCACAAAGGTGTAAACAATTCTGTGGTTTAAGAGCACACCCTAAATCTGACGTCGATTTTTTTGGTCACTTTCTCGAGAACAGATTTAACAAAAAACGTAGGAAGATATAGGTGAATGAGATTGATTTCAGTTGGGCAGTTGACATAACCAGTTGAATGGCTCCATTTCGCACATAAATGACATGATGAGGTTCTAATGAGAGCAGGAAAAACACTAACCTTTTCTTTTAACCATCAACATATGGATTACATGTTGACCTTTATAGCATACATATCTAGATGTCTTCACCGAAGTGAGTCTGGTCTCTGTGCTCATGCTGTAGTTTCAGTGGATGAAGTTTTAAAAACTACACAAATCATCGTAATAGTATCTATTAAATTAAAATATTCATTACTTATTTACCTAGTGTGCATGTTTCAGTTTCAGTTTCATGTTACAGTTACTAATCTTCTGTCGTGCTGGGTTGCTGAGTGGTTTGAGTCTAGACTAGCACTAGACTGGGATCCAGAACGAGGCTGTCTGGATTAATCATGAAAATGCTTAAAAGTACTTGAAAAAAAGAAAATGCTTAGAACAGTGAACAAAGTGCTGGGCAGGATACCAATGATATGCGTAATGGTAGTAAAACAGAGAGAGGCCTAAATGCACCTCATTATGTGTCCCTCCCCGACGTCTTATCTGAGCTCCAGTCTGTGTGCACACTGTGTGCTTCTGCTTTGTGTTAAAGTGATTGGTGAGTGACAGCAAAATATTAGCTTAGCCGCATGTCTCTGTGTCAGGCTTGGATCCGTTCTGCACCTGCAGGTCCATTCACAGCGGCCAGCTGATTTCTATCTCCCACTGTGTTTCATCAGGAGAAGACTCCTGATGGACGGGCCCAGCCTCTAAAGCGCTTCTAGGGTAGTCTGTGTTTTTCAGGCTGTGATGTAAGGGTTTTAATGGCAAGTTGTGCTTATGCATGTAATTATATGGTTAGGGATGCACCACTATTGAATTCCTGGGTCGATAACAGTAACTGATAATTAACACCTTGTTGCAACAGATATTGAAATCAGTGACTAATAATTTTTGTTTTTTCACATTGTAATCTACATATGAAGCGCAGTGATCGTAAAATATGTTAAAACTCTAAAGATTCTAGCTGCTTATTTCTCGTATTTGTTAGACTGTATAGCTTAATGGAATGATGAGTTTCAATTGATTAATTGGATTAGTGGTATTGAAAGTGTCGCCTCAACATTTGTTGCTAACTGCAATTCTGTTTTCCTCTGCTTTCACGCTGATGAAGCATCTCAGTGTGACTACATGTGCATAAGTGTGCACTGGCAAAAATAGGGCACCAAGTTATTGGGTGATGTTATTGGCTATAGCGCACACACACACACACACACACACACACACACACACACACACACACACATCATCTATACCCCTTATCCTTCTGGGTCACGGTGGGGAGCTGGAGCCTATTCCAGCTGTCATCGGGCGGAAGACAGGATACACCCTGTACAGGTCGCCAGTCCATCACAGGGCAGAAAGACAGACATACACACACAATTGTAAATAATATAACATCTGCTAATATTGCATGAACCTCCAGGTAGAGGTCTGCACTCCTGTGGGATTCCTGTTGGACCCACTACAAAATCTTGCGACACAGGGTAACCAGCCCACTGCAGGCGGGAGTGGGACGAAGCATGCATAAAGCGTCATACCACAAATTAATAAATAGTCAAAATGAGTAGAACGATCACGAAATCATATATATGAACAATATAAAATGATAACAGTAAAACAATTCAACTTATTAAAGTCCTTCTAAAGAGTTGCCAAGCAAACGATCATGTGATGACATGCTAATTCTTGTAGCGTACAGAGATGGCGGAGCCTTCAGTCCGACAGCCACAGCTGCCGAGCCCAGCAAACTACCAAATATAATCATTCTTTGGTGAATTCTTGCTTTGTGTTTACTGGGAATAAATGGCATTTGGTGAAGTTACTTCACAGTAAGCCCGATGACCATAACTGCAGTGTTACTTAAGCAGAGGATGATGTATTTGCGAATAGACTATGTCAAATATTAGATGTCAGTTTGCCTTGACGGAACTGTGCAGATGGGAACGAGCCAAAAGCAGGAACAGAACAAATTATTTCAATTTTCTGCGGGAGCAGGATGAAATCTTGCGGGAGTGGGTGGGAATGAACTGTCCAGCTCAGACCTCTACCCCCAGGTACAGTTCTTACTAGATGCAGAGGAGAATGAATTTGAGGAGTTTGTCTTTAGCATCAATGTCCCTTTGCTTTACTACTACCATGTCATCATGAGACATGTTCCGTTCTCTAGGAGAATAAGTGAGGGTGGAAAATTCCCTGGGGAGCTGGCCTTGCCCACTTACCTCTCTGACAAGGAGGACACATGGGAGGATAGGGCTCCATATTGGATTCCTTCCTGGTATCAGAGGCGCATTCTCATAAATCTGTGGGAATTTAGAGAGGCCGCACTGGCCTGGAGGGGTTTCCTGCAGCCACTGTGTCTGCGCTCACAGAAGAGTACTGAGGAAACCTGTATTTTCAGGAGCCTTCTGTGACGGTTCATACTCCACTATGCACTCAAATAGTCATGTCTTTCACCTTCACTTTTCAGTCTGATGCAGTCTTGATCAATGATATAGCCCCAGATTCATTTTAGCATGCTCTGTAAAGCTTTTTCTTATGGGCCCTACTTTAGTGCTTTTCTTGTTTTAGATTCAAAAATCTAAATTCCCAAACAGTAGGTGACATTTTCATACATCCTTTCATTTTGTTTTAGCCACAATACCTATTAGGCTTTAGAACTGCATAAATGTGTGTATATAACAGTGATTACAGTTCAACTCAGATTTCATGCATCAGAATGTTTTAACATATAACAGGGTTGATGGCAAGTTCACAACGAACTCTAAAACACAAAGTGATGTTCCCAAAATGTTAAGCATTTACAGCATGTTATTAATGCATACATGAGAGGCTCTAGGTTAAAGAACTAAGACGTATCAAGTGGGTAGCTTATCTTTGTCGACCAAATTTTCCCTGTACCTTCAGTGCTCAAAATACAGGGAGTGCCAGCTGCAGTAATGTTAATAAAATATATATTAATATTTTTGCTGTTGCAGCCAGAAGCTCTGGCTCAGCATACGTCATAAATTGAGATTGCACAGGTCTACTCTGCCTCAGTCATTTTATGGAAACCAAAAATGGAAAACAGTCCTTCGAATGTCTCAGCGCTTTTCTTGTGGTGCAGGTTTACATTGAGTGCACTTTGTTTTGCATGTGCACCAGTTTATTATTTCATTTGCAAAGGGAGTTTAATTGGTTTCATTGTGGCTTTTACAGACTTGGGGAATGTGCCAAAGTTTTTTATAAACACATCTCTGGAGTACTTGTACAATTTATGTTGTGGTAAGGCTTTTCAAGGTCACAGGATTGTGTACTTTGGTTTGTGTCCCGGTAATTATGGTGTTGTTCTTTATGTAATTGGTGGTTTTAGTGTGATTTATCTCATTGATATGGATTGCATGGCGTTTTTGCATATGAGTGCAATGCAAAGAGATGTGAATTACATGTGCCTCAGCCTGAGTCAGTGAGTGTATGGTAGTTGTCTGCTTGTGGCATGTATTTAAACGGCCTACAGTCTAGACCAGGGTCCTCTAAATCCAGACCTGGATGATTGTAGTAATGCACAGTTTAGCACTTTACCTGCAACATACCTGCAACTAACATATATGCTTTAACTTAGTTAATGCTCAAGTTGGTGTGAGAGATCAGGGATAAAATCAAACCAATCAGTGTTGCAAAGTTGCATTTGAGTCTGAGACTGACTGATAATGTGTCACTGCGGGGGTTCATTTTCTATCTACAGTCATAAATGTATAAATACTAATATTTCAGATCATGCACACAGAAATTAATCTGCAATATTCTGTATTTTTCTCTCTCATTTTCCACAAGCATGGTGTCATCACCACAGAAGAAGAGCAGTATTTAATTGAGCCGTTAAAAGACATAACCTCCAGAAACTCCAGCAATTTCCGGCTCACGGGAGAAGGGCAGCCGCACGTTATTTATAAAAAGTCCTCCATCCCTTCACCGCAGCAGCACAGTGAGGAGTTCAGCTGTGGTGTCTCAGGTTGGTGAGCTTTCTCCATCTGGCTGACGTAAAGGAACAGCAGAACAGCTATAGATAGCTGCAGAGGAAGCGGCAGTGTGTGGCTCAGGTTGGACTGGATGTTGCCAGCAGAGCAACACGTGCACCTCCAGACCTGTCAAAAGCAGGCAAGCTGGTGGTTAGCTCTGTTGAGCCTGAACCTCTGTCACAGCTCTCTCTTTCTGATTGTAGAGGATCTACTCTAGAATAATGACAGGTCTGATTTGATTCCGTAAGACATCCACCAGTCTTTTTCTTTCCCAGTCTTGCATGAGGAGTGTTCCATCTCGTGGAGGTTGAGGTATTTAGGCTACAGTGCTGTAGGTCACTCTGAAGGCTGTCATCATGGGGAAGCCAGCAAGCCTGAACAGGCATTATCTAATGGCTTTTCCTCCAGCATCTGGGTCATAAATGCTCATGCTGCAGCACTGAGGTTCAAAAAGGAATGCTCTTAGTGTATGGCAGCAGACATGAAAGCCACTGTGATATTTATTTATCAACCACAATGTAAATTTTAAATTAAATAATATGTAAAGTTTTGTATGGTTAACCCTATTAAACCCTAAGGGCAGTATGGGTCTACACATCTGTTCTCCAAAACATATTACTTTCATAGTACCAGATAATTTATGGTACTTAGTGAACAATAAGTCTTATGATTAATAACTAAGTAATAAGCCTTGTGTTACATATGCAATAAAGTATGTAATTATTTATTATATATTTAATATTATATGTTTATTTTCATATCAGATTTCTTAAGTCAGGGTTTTAGTAGGTATCTAAAAGATTCAACCTCAAAAATAATAAATAATACATACTGGTTCATATTCCAATTCGCAGATCTCACAGTAAACCCTACACCATGTTTGCAAACCAGTCCTGCCCCAGCGTCCCTGTCTCCTATGCGAAACAATGGCAGCTCTAGCAACGCACACCGGCAGCGGCGCTCCATCAGCTCTGAACGCTTCGTTGAAACTTTGGTGGTGGCCGATAAAATGATGGTGGGCTACCATGGCCGCAAAGACATTGAGCACTACATCCTGTCTGTCATGAATATTGTAAGTTTGATCCTGCTTTTCCTATGCATGCATATTTTTGTATACATTGCACCACTAGACAATACAGGATTCTTTAACTGGGCCTCTTTCATTAACCTGAGATGTGGTGTAAAACACTGACATATTGACATAATTTGTCTGACTTTGTGTTTTTTTTTCTTTTCTGGAGGTCAGGTTGCCAAACTTTACCGTGATGCCAGTCTAGGAAACGTTGTGAACATTATTGTAACCAGACTGATTGTTCTAACAGAGGACCAGGTGAGTTAACAGCATTAACAGTCTATCCAGTACATACAAGAGCTAAGAACGTGTAAGAACTTGTACTCATTCAAATCTTGTACAGTACCCGTTTGTTTCCAAGGTATTTTTAACTTTATTTTTTCACATCAAAAGTGTTTCCACATATTAGAGTATTGCTTATCTGTCCCATTACTGCTGTTTAATGGCTCGAGTATATGATTTTACAGACGTAATAACAACTTAGCAACATAGGCCTTAACTCTAATTACAAAGTATACATAGTCATTTTCAGGGACCTTCAATTCTCTTTATAATGCCCTATACATTTGAGCATATTTTACTCAGAGGTCCTGTCTGGGTAGTTGTAGCATCATCAAAGCAGGCTGACCAGAGCCTATTTTAAGAAACACAAGGACATTTCTTACTGTAGACTACTATGTTTTATATGACTGGTCTGGATGAGACAGACAAGAAGCATACTACCATATGGTTACTGCACTAAAGATGAAAGCTATTGAAACAAATAGGCCTAGGCTTGGTCCCTGAGGACTACTTTGTAAAGAGTTTTTACACACACACTCACACCCACACACATAGACACACACACACACACACACATATATATATATATATGTATGTATGTATGTATGTATGTATAAATAATGCGAATACCAGCATATTTGTTTAGTAGTCTTTCTTTCTGAAGGACCAAACATTTCTTCACAGGGCGGAAGCCAGCGAAAAGATCAGACTACCTCTGAGAGGATGTCACAGCAGCCAACATCCTTATATTATTATTCATATCATGTATAAGAGCTTTTTATCAAATTCAAATGTTATCGGATGGTTTTGTGGATCATCAGGATAAACGAGTGTTCTTTGTTACAGCCCAACCTGGAGATTAACCACCATGCAGACAAATCCCTGGACAGCTTTTGCAAGTGGCAGAAATCCCTCCTCTCTCATCAGGGAGATGGAAACAGCATCCCAGAGAACGGCATTGCTCACCATGACAACGCTGTTCTCATTACAAGGTCAGTAATTTATTCCTCGCAGGGTAGGAAATAATATTTGTAAGAGAAAATTTTTGCCCTCACTCACAATTTAATACACAAATGAGATCATGACTGAAAGCATGTTCTACTTATACCTATTTAACTACATAAATTGTCCATGTTACATTTTAACCCTGCGTTAGTTGTGCTCTTATGTGCGCTCATGTTTTATGGGGTACATGCATCTAGAAAACAAATAAATAAATTAGATCTATAATTACTAATTACTAAGTGCCACCACTGCAGTTATGTTGTCATGTGCTCATTTCTTTGGAAGCATTTTTTTTAACACCAACAGTGTGCAGCTTTAGTCATGTTAACTATTTGGCTTGGTAATACTGATGCATTGTGAGGTTCCACGCAGTCTCTGCTCTTCTTTAAGCCAAACTGGTGGGAGTTATTCCCCCGGATCATTCCGAGTAGGGGCTGAACAGGAGGATGAGTGGAAGGTAATAGTTCAGCTGTTCAAAATAATACACTGTGTCTTCCACTGAACAGTCCTTCAACGTTATCATGATTTCATCAAGCTTATAATATCAGATAATTATACTACATGCACAGAAAACCTCCGTTTAACCTGTATGATGTAAGTCACTTAAGCAATTGTATCACATGCTTAAAGGTCTTAAAAGTGCTGAGGATGCATAAATGGTCTGTTTCAGGTGGGTCTGTTTTCATTCTGCGATTTATGGGTGGTAACCATGTTGCTGCAAAACACTGTCATCACCTGGAATTGGCCTTATCCTTGCTGTTAGCTATTTTGACCACATAAACCTAGCAACTGAAACATAAACTTCCAGCTTGGTTCATTCATAGATGATCATTTTTTTTGAGTGACATGACATAAGACTCCTTTATTGACTCATGCAAACTTTTTCGCCTCGGGTTTACTTTTCTTTTGAACTTGCTAGATGTGTTTGAATGCTTTTTTTCCAACTTGGCTCCCTCTTTTTCTTCACCTTAACTGGGCTTCCTCATCCCTGCCTTGAAGGTAGTTGTTCATGAGAATGTTTGTTGATACAAGTCAACAGAAGCTTAATTTAGTGATTAAAAAAGAGTAATGGGTTTGCTAAAAAGGTGGTCTCTGGAGGTCCTGTCTTGTAGTGATTAATTAATTTCTATTTCTAAAACAATACTATTTATTTATTTAGTTATTTATTCATTTATTTAACTTTTGTGGAGGCTAGTTCATCAATAAGACATCGATTTGTCCTTTATTATGAACATAGAAACATTCTATACATAAATATAATTCCTGTAATTTCTTGACCTCAGAGTAGGCACTAGTTATTAAAGTCATGGTTAATTGGTGTCTTTTGACTCATGGAATTATTAGTTAGACTGAAGTATTTGCCTAGAAGGTGTTCAGTGATAGTTTAGACTTGCCTCCTTGTGCTTACCTTATGGAAGATTCCTTTTATGCTTTCGTATTTTTAATTTATTTTTTTAAACAGGTAGTTTTGGCTTTTTTGAGAGTTTCCCCAAAACAAACACGTTAGCAGGCCAAGTTTAAGAGACATGCTTCATGTCTGACACCAGTCTACTGAAGATTTTTGTCTTTAACGTCTTTCTTCAAGACAAACACACATCTGCCAAAATCAGCTAAGCAGTAAACAACTGGCTGTTGTGCTCCTAATTTCTGGCAGAGAGGTTTTTTAGTTTGGCAAACAAGCATTAGTTCTTTTCTGTAAATGGAGTAGAAGTGGCTGATTCTGAACCATGAGGGGCTTTAATGCTCACCGTTTCAATAAACCTTCATCCCAGGATTTTCTGTCTCGAATGAAGAGAATTCACAGCATCAGGCTGAATCGACAAAAGTCAATAATTATTAAATATGTTCCCGTGTCTTATCCAAGCATTTGTAAATTCCTAAAGTATTTTTCTCTAGCTTCCAGTTACGGCGTACTGTGGATCTCGACACACGCTGTTTTTTCTGTTGTCATCTTTTATGGCCCCACTGACATGTATTCTTTGGATTAGCAGCTATTGCTTTGGATGAGATATGTTCTGCTTGCTTGAGGCTGCAGTCAGACAAATGAGCTAAGGTTCATGTAAGATAGTGGTCGAGCTGAGGCCAAGAAAAAGCTCATGAATTAGAGGAAAGTTCAGTCTGGAGATGCTATATGTGTTTTTTTGTTAAAAGCTGACGCAGGGCCCAGGAAGCACTGATTAACCATCGTATCTGGTAAGACCATCTTGGAATCCTTCAGGAGGAAGATACCTCTGCTGCATCTGTGATTTTTAACAATTGTTTATTTTAGCAACACTTAGCTTGGAGACGTTTATGTGTGGGTGTTTCTTTTATGACTAATGAAACTTTGGAAGAAAGCTTATCCAGTCAGAAGGGGCTTTTATGTCAAGACGGCTTTGTTGAGTAAACGCTCTGGCATGCCGTATATTGTTACAAGTCTTTTGTAAGTAGCTGTCATAACTAATTGTAATTAGTTGTGCATGTTTATGTGTTGAAAAGCATTTCTGCAGCTTCACAGAATTCTTTAAATACTTTAAGGTGATAATTATGTTAGTATTTTGACAGAAGTTTTAGTTTTAAGCCTAATGGCAAAAATGAAAACAAATAGATCAGTGCTGTCAAGTCTTTAAAATTCACCTGCAAATCCATGTTTTGTTCTATTTGGTTTCTAAACACACCTGAGCCAGGTACAGACTCAAGTATGTTGGAAGAGCAAAGAGAATGCTGGTCAGGAGTCCTAATGGGCTGATATCTGCTAGTGGAATGGAATCGGTTCTGAATTTTGACCATACAACTTCTATAAGTCATGTATACAATCACATCCACATCTGTTGTACTGTATACGGTGTAAGTATAATAATTAAAATCTGTGTTTTACTACCACTCTTTCTAGCATGTCTTGCTCATGTTTAGGTGACATTCATGCTTGTTTAATTGTTATGGCTGCTTGCAGCATCTCTTTGTCATTTGCATTGAGGTGGGCTCTGTGAGGTAATGTCCTGAAACAGAGTCTTGTTCTGGTCCCTCTGGTCATATTGTAATTTATTACTCTTATGGCTGTAGAATGGCAGGAGGGATGCAGTGCCTTTGTTTGGAACTGGAACAACGGCGAGAGCGGAGGGAAATTAAAGGAACGAAATAAAAATAAATAGATGTCCAAATGAGGCCGACTTCTCTACGGTCGTCTATGAGACTGTACCTCAGACCTTTGGATGCCTTCCATGAGGAGGAGAGAGCGAATGAGAGGGAGAGAGAAAAAAAAGAGAGCGAGAGAATTAAATTGAATTTTCAGTGTCCTTGGTTTTTTTAATACATTAAAAGGCCTAAAATGATTCGATCACACATTGCCTTTAAAAATAAATGTATGCATTTTGAAGGCAGAGTCCTTGTCTGTCATTTCTTAGTGTCTGTGTGTCTGCTGTTTCTTTTTTATTAGATTATCATTATAGTATATACATTATTTAGACAGCTTGGCAGGAAGCTAGACCACATATGCAAGGTTTGAGCATTGGGCTTTGCATTCTTGGCTGCGTTGTGTCTGGTTCAAACAAAAGCATCTTCTGATGTGCTGAGACAGTACATTTGGTTCTGAACTGTATCTTGTAGTACTTACTGTGTTTTGTGATCTAAGGTCTAAGATCATGTATTGATTTAGTTACTCCGTTTTGTTCATTTGGAGCGTCTCATGAACGTAATTTCTTGTGATGATGTTTGTATGAAAATTATGTATGAAAGAAGCTGAGGCCATTGCTTCAAACAATAGATTCTTATTTAGACATACTTTTTTGGCCGCATTCAAGTGTAATTGTACAGATTTTAGAACTTTCTGGTTTTCTGGAATCTCTACAGCTGCACCATGATAAACACTGTGCTAGCTTCTGATCTTCTGATCAGTTATGAAAGCAGAATGCAGCTAGGGACATTTCACTTATCCATCTGATTGAATATGTTCATAACACCTACAGTGTGCTCCTGACTCCTCCTTGATATGAAACACAGAGCATCTTGGATCCTTTAATACGTTCCAGATCAGTCCCTGTGTCTTTACTCTGTGCCGCAGACAATGTCAAACAAAGCCTGGCTGACTGCCTTTGGCTGGTCTCAGCAACTGCAACAGACTGAACTGCTTCTTAGGAGGTGTTAAATGCCCCGTTTGGGGAATGAGAAAATATTTGGCATTCTTTTGTACGGCCCTGCCGTCTGCCAAACCGTCGACAGGTCCAGTTGAAAAAAGCAGACTGGTTTGTATAACAAACTAAAAAGTGGCCCCAAGCTTAAAGCCCAAAGAACCAGTAAGTTAGTGGATGCTGACGAAGAAATGAGGGAATTAATATATTGCATGTAGTCTGCAAGTGAGCATTTTTATTTTGTGTATTGTCTATCAAATGGATTTTATAGTTGTTTGCTATGATACAAAGTAGGGGTGGATGATATGGCGAGGAATATGTAAGAAATATAAAATATTCCAATACTTCAAGACATGTTTTCAATACATGATTCAAATCACACTATTCAGTTTTTCTTGTTTGTTTGATAAGTTGGAACAGACAAGAACCAGTGGTGCCACATTCAAAAATTAATATCAGAAACAATGAATATAATGATTTTTGTTCAATCATTGTCTAAGCAGATGTTGCCTATTTATTCAAGTTTATATACACTTTATTAGGAATACCTACACACTTTCTCATTCATGCATTTATCTTCTCAGCCAGTCATGTGGCAGGAGTGCACTGCAAAAAATCATGCACATACGTGGCAGCAACTTCAGGTAATGTTTGTATCAACCATCAGAATAGGGAAAAAATGTGATCTCAACAATTTTGACCATGGCATAGTATTTCTGTAACTGCCGATCTCCAGATTGTCACGCACAACAGTCTCTAGAGTTCACTCAGAATGGTGCAAAAAAGAAAAAATATCCAGAGTGGCAGTTCTGTGGATGGAAACACCTTGTTGATGAGAGAGGTCAACAGAGAACAGCCAGACTGGTTTGAGCTGACAAAAAAGGCTACAGGACCTCTGTTAACCACACAGTACAACTGTGGTGAGCGAAAAGCATCTTGGAATGCACAACACGTCAAACCTTGAGGCCAATGGTCTACAACAGCAGATGACCATGTCGAGTTCCACTTCTGGCAGCCAAGAACAAAAAAGCTGAGGCCACAGTGGGCACAGACTTACCAAAACAGGAAAAATATAGCCTGGTCTGATGAATCTCAATTTCTGCTGAGGCACACAGATGGTAGGGTAAGAATTCGGCACCAACAGCATGAATCTATGGATCCAACCTGCCTTGTGTCAACAGTTCAGGCTGGTGGAGGTGGTGTTATGGTGTGGGGGATGTTTTCTCTGCACACTTTGGACCCGCTAATGCCAATCAATCATCGCTTAATTGCTACAGCCTGTTTGAGTATTGTTGCTGAACATGTGCATCCCTTCATGGCCACAATTTACCCATCCTCTAATGCCTACTACCAGGATAATAATGCAAATCTGTTGAAGCTGTTGAAAATTATTTTGCCCTGTTATGGGAAAAATAAAATATAATCTGATCTAGTCTCAATGACAGTGGCTTATCTCAGTAACATTTGTCTTCTATACAGGTATGACATCTGCACCTACAAAAACAAGCCCTGCGGTACACTTGGTAAGTCTCCTGAACCTTTTCTGACTTCTTACCAGACGTTCATTCCCATGTGCTTAACTGATTCATATTTATGAGTAAAATTCCAAAGGCTGTATTGCCAAATGGTGTATGAATGAATTGTTCTTTTGCACACTGTACAAATGTATGAAACACTCCTGTAAAGTGATTAGGAATCTCTAGGAGTCTCTTCTGTGGAGCAGCTTGCTGGCTTGGCCGAGTTTTGTCCCAAACATGGCACTCAGCCTGCCTCTTTCTACACACACTTCTGTCTCCTGTTTCGCCTCAAAATATTCCCCCTTCTGTCTGCTTCAAGCCGGAGGTGTTCACCCCCCCCTGGGTTTGCGGAAAGACAAGAAGGGGAGTGAAAAGAGGGCAAATAGCTGGAAAGTAAAAGAGAAAGCAAGAGAAAAGGAATTAATAAGTGAGGAAGTTGGAGCAAGGTGGAAGGAAAGAGAGGGGAAGAGAAGGTGAGCTATCGGGAGCTTTTTTTTACGTAAATGAACTGCTGGGGAGTGTCAAAGCCCCATCTTATCTCTGCAGGGCCCCTCCAGGTACAACAGTATATCTTAGGAGTAATATGGTGACTCCAGGGCGCTTTGACAGATTGACCGCATTCGTCACATTCCCCTAGTCCCTTTAATTGCCCTGGCATCTGCTCGGCTTCCTCACTGCACCCTCCCTCTCCCACAGCCCTTCCCCTGCACCTCCTGCCCCCCACTCCACCACCCCACCCACAGTGATTGGATGGATCAGCGTCCCGGGTCAGCCTGTTGCCCTCTGGGGGTCACTGGGTAATAATAGCAGAGGGGACGTAATACCTCAGCAACCCTCCACTTAGAGAAAAATGAGCATATGCACATCAACTGTATGTGTGGTTCAAAAACTTGAACATGAGTCGCATGGTAATGTAACTTCATCAGTAACAATACCAAGACCATTTTGGTAGTCCTTTCTTGGGGTCCACCTATATGTTTTGTTTAGGGCCAATACCAGTGATACTGATTTTTAGTAATCAATGACACCGATAACCAATATTTGGGGCCGATATTCATTTACACAATTTTTAGATAAAACAGTTATGTAATATGAGTCACAGTGTTGAAAGGGCACACATCAGGAAAGGAGCTTGATCTTTCAGTATATGGGTGCAAGCAAAAGCAAAATATGGGTAAAAGCCTAAATATTGTATAAAGACTCCACCTGCCAAATACATAGAACTGTAAATGTAAGCCCTGTAGAAGGTATTACAGTAATCATCTGAGCAATTGTGCAGTAAAAATTGTCACTACTTTGTAATGAGCAACAACAATGAAGGCATATGAATGTAAACATGATTATTTCATTTTGTTGTACAACCAAAAATGTATTTCATGCGAGTTCAAGCAGTAACTGGACATGTTGAATGTATCACCCATATTCTGATTGGCTCTTGAATATACACTGCATGATTCCATGGAAACAGCTTCTTTGGCCTAAGCAGGGCGTTGGTATCTTTGGAAGTAAAGAAAAAACAAAATGACCTGAAATTGTGTATGAATTATTAATTAAAATGATAAGTTGTGGTTTTACAAATAATTTACTGCTTTCTGGAGACATGTCTGTAGCTCCACTATAGGCGCACATGTTCCAAACACATTCAAACTACTAAAGAAGCAGTGGGGTTCTGCACACCATGTTTGCTCCATACACAGAAGCCTCACTCTCACACGTGATGTTTCAGACAGGGCTCAAGCTGCATGTACAAGTCACATTTGTCTGGCTAGAATGAGCAAAATTATATAACCGAGTGCATTGTGCTTTTGCATTGCTCAGCTTCAACATGTTCTTACCTTTCCTCTTGCTGAGAAAGCGAAGGCAGGCACATTTGATTGGATTTACTCAATATGTGGTCCACATTTCTATCAATCCAGTGGTGCTGTGGGAGGGACACAGAGACGTACTACGGAGTGTTGGTTGGTTGTAGTTGATGTGTCATCCACATTTCAAGTAAGCCAGTGGAACGTTAGACCAGACTACAGAAGTGTGTTGTGTTGTGTCAGATATGTGCTTACAGAAAAAATACAGAAATATGCTGAATGTCGGCTTCAGTTATTGGCCAGGCTGATAATCGGTTGACCCCTGATCCTTTCAAACAAATTTCAGAAATCAAAGGAAAGGAAAACATGCTATAGGTGTTAGGGACGTATTTAGTGAGGCAGATGAGAAACGTCCCCTCTCGCTGCATTTTACAGGACTAATTAGAAGATCAGAAGCTAGCACAGTGTTCAGAATAGTGCACCTGTGGAGATTCCAGAGAACCACAAAGTTATAAAATCAGTGCAATAACAGTTGAACGCACCCAAAAAAGTATATCGAAACAAGAATCTCTTGTCTGAAGCAAATACTTTACTTTCCGTGGAATGTTAGATATTCCATATTCTAAATGAAGGAGCAGATGCCTCATGTTCAAGCTGAGGGTGACAATAGAAGGAAAAACTTCCTAAGAGCATGAAGACGAAACACTGAGAGAAACCAAGACTCTGAAGAAAAAACTTGTTAAGAGCAAGAGGAGGAAACACTGAGGTGCACCCAGACGCAGTGCAGTTTGGATACAAGTAGGACAAAAAAAATAAATGATGACAGTAGTGAAAACATACAATTGACACTGAACAGAGATATTTGGATCTGTGAGATAAGCCAATGGCTAATATTAGAAGTTTATCAATGACTGTCAAAGTACATCTGGTGGGCTAGCAATTGTGTTAAAATACAGAGTGCTAGATGTAGCACCAAGAGACCTTTTTAAGTCAGCCAGAAAACCTGCTAGTTCCCTTCACTATTCAGCAGTTCTCTAATCCATCTCCAGTTTCCCTTTATGCCTGTAGCTAGGGTCGCAATACCCTTTGATTTGTGGGTCTGCTGTTGTCTGGCTCAATGTAAGAAGAGGATGAAGAGGCCAGAAGTTGAAATTATGGGTGATGAACAATATCCCTAATACTCCTCCCACACACCCACAAGCGCCCACACCCCTCTCCTCTCCACACTCTCATGCCTAATATCTGTGGTGGCCTTTTCAGCACTGAGCTCATCACTCTTTGACCTTTTCAGGTCATGCTGTTGAGCTGGCTGCGCTAAATTAAACGGACTCACGTATGCAGGATAAAAGAGAGGGATTAAGGGGCCTCTAGTTTGCAAAATAAACCAGCAAGCACATATTTGATCTAGCTTCAAGCCTCCAAGCCCGCTTGAGCTGGGCCCTAGCTTAAGAGCTTGCTTTTCCTCTCCCCACACACACCTGTAGATGTAATCTGGAGAGAAACGCTCTCCACTCGAAAGGAGCTGAGGGGAGGAGAGCCAGAAACACCTGGATTTTGGAAAAGGTTTTCCCCCCTCTGTCGCACACCCCCCACACACAGTCTCTCTTCAATCATATAAATGCACACTTTCTCTCTTTCTCTGTCATTCTTATTTTTCTCTCTCTCACTTTCTTCCTTCTCACTGTCACACTTTACTGGGCTCAGTAAAGTCCAGCATGGCCACAGTGCATCGGCACATGACAAGAGGAGAATAAAAGCAGAGGGGAGATTTAATATTTCCTTCATTTCTCCCAGATTAAAAAACAGTGATGTTTATTTATGGCAAAGTATGTGACTGCAAAACACAAAGTTTAAGAAAAACAAAGGCTCTAACCAAACGTTCATTTGTGAATTTTGCAGGAGAGCACACTAAAGATTTTCCTTTGCTCATTACTCCTTCACTTGTGTGCTGCTTCAAATAATTCACCATTTGCAAAAAACAAAAACAAAAATTAAAACAGTTTGCGTCTCTTTCTTGGCAGTTTTGCAATGGAGAAAACATCTATATATTTGGGGGGCAAAAAGGGGAATGTTTTCTTAAATTCACAACTCTGGCTTGCATTACTAGGTGGTCCCTTGTTACCAGAAGTAGAATGTATAAATCTAACTCCTTGTCTAGACATTTTCCAGCTCTGACTTCAGTTAGAAAGAAAAAAAGGAAAGAAAAGTGAACGTCTAGCCGACAATGCTGATCTCCCTCTGGTGGCTCCAGAAACTGGTTCTGAGTACAAACTTTTGCCAGCTCCGGCCTCCCCGCTGACTTGGTCAATGCAAAAAATGTCACTTTTATGATGCTGGAGTTCTACACCTTGACCTGACCCCACACGTGTTTGTCTGTGTGTGTGTGTGTGTGTGTGTGTGTGTGTGTGGCCAGGCTTGGCATCTGTTGCTGGAATGTGTGAACCAGAGAGGAGCTGCAGCATTAATGAAGACATAGGCCTGGGCTCCGCTTTCACCATCGCACATGAGATTGGACACAAGTGAGTGAAGACCCCCTTTCGACCTTTCCAACCTCAGACTTCCCCCACCACAATATACTGTATCAAGAAGGACTGAACATGCATACTGTTATCTATACAAATGGGCAAATGTCACTTAGTATGCTATACGGTGTCAGCAACCACATAAGTAAGTCTATTTAAGATGACTGTACAACTCAGCATGTTGTGAGGCAAGTGTGGGATTTAGGTATGCAGTTTTCACAATACCTATTAGTGGGGCATAAGCTCTCATTACTTGTTAGCTATATTAGCCTAATAGCTCCAGAGCAAAATTAAAGAAGGAAAGTTTGGATAACAAAGATGTTTTGGATGATGGACTACATTTGGTGCAAGGGGAAAACCGTGTAAATTTGAACTGGATAAATGATTACAGGTTCATCACAATAAACTGGTTAGAATGTAGTCTGGTATTTGCAGTGCTCACGCTTGGCCCCTCAGATGAGAATAGTCTACTCGGTGCGCTTTCACCACTCATGACGTCTTTTTTTAATATGTTTCATGGTGGTCACTAAATTCTCCAAATTGTGGCTTCCCATGAGAGCAACTGATGCTAAAGATATTGTAATTTGTTGTTGAGGGACTAAGCTAAGCTCTGTTAGCACAAGCGCATATTTCGGTGTATGCAAATGTCGTTCTGCAAAAACTTGCCCCCTTCATTGGTCCCCCCTGAATGCTTGGAAAAATAACAGTGATCTATTGGTCTACGTAGGGGCTCGGCAGAGTTCACAGAGATGGCAATTTCCTCTATTATGTTTCGTGTCTGCTTCTGTTGTGGGGGCAGTTGTAAAAATAGTCCTAGCTTTCTAGAGAAAAAAAAACCATACCAAGACTTCTCCTGTGCTGATTTAAATCCAGAGTAGAGTAAAATGTCATAAACGTGAGCCTTAGAAAAACACAGAGGAATTGTGTGATGTGGTCAGGTTTGTTATATGCATTAGAACTGATTTGTGCTTTTGGAAAGACCCTGGTTAAAAAAAAGAAAGAAAGAAAGTAAAAAGTTTCTGGTGTAAGTCGATTTTATGTTTTTTATACAATATCCAGACAGATATGTAAGAGAAAGAAAGAAGGCATCACTAAAATGATGGATTTGCAGCATTGCAGGTTAGGAATGTTGCTGAATGCTTCAATAGCCTTGAGTACAGCAGAATGGTGAGCAGGTAAAAGGGGCTCATGTAGCAGGCCCCAGCAGGCCAGGCCGCAGCCATTACAGCTCTGGTCACCTTTCCCCTCTCGTCTGTGGCTCCCGGATTGAGCCCTGTTCAAACATGTAATTATTGATTGACAGGCAGCCATCAGGGTAGTGATTAAGACTTTCTCATTCTTTCAGAGCTCCAGACAGCTCCTGGCCTTTGACCCGGCTGGCCTATGCATACAGCTGTTTCAGAGTCAGAAAAAGCCCTTTCTTTACAACTTAGCCAAAGGAGATGTGATCTGCTGCTGCTGAAACATCTTGTGGCTGTCTAGAGTTGCCCAAGCTTGTCGTCACGAAGGGGGCGGGCGATTTGACTGGAATTAGTGAGCCATGATTATGACCCTGCCCCTTTGTGTGTTTCTTGTCTCACAGCTTCGGAATGAACCACGATGGAATCGGGAATACCTGTGGAACCAAAGGCCATGAGACAGCCAAACTGATGGCAGCGCATATCACAGCCAATACCAACCCCTTCTCCTGGTCCACATGCAGCAAGGACTACATCACCAGCTTCCTGGAGTAAGTTCCAGAACCTCCTTCCTCATTCTATGTAGGGAACTAGTAAACTGTGTCAGGTGTTACTGCAGCACCCTAAGAGCAGGAAGTGATGTTTAAAGAGAAGAATGGGTGTGTCTCCATACATAAGCTTTGATTGGCTCAAAAGGACTATGTTCAATGATATATACTGGGGACACCTGTCTTTTCAAAACATTTTTAAATATGAAGCATCTTTTCTTTTTTTCAAGTTTGCAATAACATAAATTGTAAACACTGCAAAAATGAAGAAACAGCAACTGACAAAAGTACTGCCCCTAGGAATAATGCCAAAGCCCATACATTTCATCCCGCTCATCCAGCACTCAATACTTTTTAGGTGTTAAATCTACCTTTGGGCCAAAAAGTGGGCTTTTGAGAATAGTTCAGAGAACTGTCTAATCATTATTTAGGCAAAACATGCTCTTTCCACCAGTTTGAAGAATATGAAACTGAGTGCTACATTAACTATATAAACTTCAGCATGTAAACCTCAGGTAAAATATACTTGAAGTATTAACAGATAGCATCAGTAGTCATTTAGGGAGATACACTGCCCACAGCCATCTGCATTTTATGTTGTGAAGTGATTGATGAGCAAATCTAGACACCTTGAAAAAGGCCTACTTTAGCAGCTTTTTTCATGCTGCTAATCTTAGGTTTGTTCACATACCTCCTCTATCCTACTCCACTGAGACAGACCCAGCCAACAGAGGCCTGAGTCAGACATCTAGAGCAGCACTAACTCGATTAAGCCTTTGGTTTGCACAGAGGGCATTCACCTTCTCATGGACAGAGTTTACTGGAAGATACATTTTCAGAAAGCCCTTACTGCAAACATATCAATATTGCCTGCTTCTTTGTTCTATGTGCAGATACATACATTTCTTTTTCTTGAAATTTTTTTGGCGTGAGCTATTGGAACCGCTATCCTACAGTTGAAACCATCCGCTGTGCATGATGCAAGGGTGTAGACAGGAAAAAAAGGTGGGTGTTATGGTTGTCAGACAGGGTTTCCTGGTGAATGACCTCATGGAAGAAGGTTAGCTACCCTGCCATCGAAGGCATAAAAAAACCAAAGCTCCATGTGCCAACTTCCCACATAAACACAAAAGGCTAGCCTTTCCGTTGGTTTTGGGACGTGTTTGTTGTTGTATAATCAGACCCTATTATCTGTGACCATTGCAGACCAAGGCTATAGAATTTTGAACTCACTGAACCGAAAGAAGGGCTAATGAATTTCCACTGATAATCTTGCACAAGATCAAATATTTGGCAGGACATTTTGCAGTTGTATATCTTTTATTTACAGCTCTTACATTGTTAAGATAATGCTCATCCATGATCTGAACATCTCTCCCTACTCTCTCTCTGTCTGTTGGTCTATCAGATTTTGGATGTGTCTTCGTTCTTCTTTGCCAAGTAAACAGCTTTGGTTGTGGAGTTGGCCTAAATTCAGTGGATTTGCTCAGGCAGCATGTGCAGCTTGCTTAAGACAGAGTAGCTTTTGAAAAATAGATTGCTAACAGAGACGTGGTTTAGTTGTAGTTTACAGTCTAATGTTCAGTGTCCTCATTATTTTGAATGACATCTAATGGAAGTCTTCTTAAACTTTATTATCAGATTAATGACATTTCTTTTTCTTGCATATCATTTACATTTGTCTAAAAACAGTGGACAGTTATGGTTCAAGTCTCTTTGCATTACACAAGATATCCTCTGGCTGTAATGAGTTTGGCCATGTCTTACTTGGAGGCAGTTTTGTTGACATGTCAAATAATCATTTCTATTTTTAAAACAACTATTTTGTCTTTCTCTAAAGCAATAAACAGAGAGGTCTGTGTTGGTACATTAAGACTCTGAGGGGACTGAGCCAGGTTTGTCTTTCTCCCAGCAGAGGGGATCTTGTGAAAGCCAAAGAAAAGGATTATTCCACCAAACAACGAAGAAAAAAAGAGAAAATTGAAGGGATGTAACTGAATACGGCATCGGTCGTTCTCCCCCTGGGCAAAAGCTTGTGTGTTTCTTTCCTTTCTGATGTATTTGGTTTAGTTTTCAATTAGATTAGACTTCCAATATTCTGGTGGGAAGCTAGAGATCCCTGTTTCAGCTAATGCTTCCTCAAGCACGCTGAACAGAAACCAGATCCCTGGGGTTGTGTTGTTGTTTTTTCCTGTCATATTCAGCTTCTTGGATTTCCTCGCTTTAGTCACTCCTGGGATTTTTCTCACATTTTCAATGTATGCATTACTGCAGCAGTTATCTCTGTTTCTTTGGTAGGATAAAAACGGTTATAGATAGAGATGCACAGATATGGTCATTGTGGGCCGATGCTGATATCTGATACTTTAATGTACATAGCTGGCGATACTAATGGAGGTACATAAATGTTTTGAAGATGTATTAACAAATCTACCTGGATTAGCATTACAAATAAATATAACACTTATTTCTGTAGGGTTACAAATGCAGTAAAAGAAACAAAATGCAGATATGTTAAAACAGTAGCCCAGAGTTGCCTAAACATTCTGCTCATCTGTAGTACAATAAACATATCAAGTGTCCGCTTGACATATCAGTCAAATCTAAATGTCTGATACTGGTTATATTTTTTTCAATCCAAATATCAGGCAATATAGGATATGACTTCGATATCATTGTGCATCCCTAGTACATCAGCAGAAAAAGCCATCGCAGGGTCCAGAGCCACAGCCATCCTATCTCAGCCTGATACGAAATGTTAGCGTAAGGATTATTCTTGGGCCCATTTTTATTAAATTTCTCAGAGATAAAGTAAAAGTCCTGATCTGGGATCAGTCTATGTATTTTATACACTCAATAGAATTGTGGGAACTGATAAGACCTGATTTAGGCAATAATTGACTACTTCATTACTACATATAGACAGTCTAGTTGCATGTCTTCAACACGTCTGTGTTCAGTTCAGGCAGGAGAACGATGTGGAGAACAGAATGCTTGAGATCTGAACCCAGAATAAACTGAGCCCAACAAAACATGCCCTGTCTGCTTCCTGGCCTTCTCTTCTTCAGAGCTTTATTTTTCTGCTGTGTCTCTAAGTCTCAGCAGCAGACACAGCAGTGGCCCCCCTGTATTTTGAGAGTTTCACGGGAGTGTCCATATTTCTATTTGACTGAAACAGACTAAACATGGATCTTACTCTAGCCATGCAACCCCTGGTCTTGTCTACATTTCTCTCTCTCTTTCTCGCTACCTCCTTTCCTTAACCCCCTTTTCATCACCTTACTGGTGCTTCAAAGGATTCCATAGGAGGCCAAGAGCACCATATATGTCCAAATCTCTGCATTTTAAGGACACTGTCTGTCATTTTTTTCCTGTCCCCCCCCTCTCTCTCTCTCTCTCTCTCTCTCTCTCTCTCTCTCTCATGCTGCAGTACATGTGCTATGCATACTAATCTTTCATATTAACTAACTGCTGCACACAGAGAAAAACACCTAAATAAATAATTGAATGAATAGGTAAATAAATCTTGTTAGCTACAAATATTTGAATGAATGAATGTTGCTGCATGGGGCAAGCATTGTAGAAGAGCCAATCCTATTGTAGGTTTGTTTTTTTTTGACAGCTCAGGTCGGGGAACGTGTCTGGACAATGAGCCTCTGAAACGAGACTTCCTGTACCCCACAGTGGCTCCGGGGCAGGTGTACGATGCGGACGAGCAGTGTCGTTTTCAGTACGGCGCCTCCTCCAGACAGTGCAAATATGGGGTAAGAAGGACAGAATGCACACTCACTTGTGCTCTGACAATGTCGTCCTTGTATGGTGTGACTGTTCCTCAAATGCAGTCTGCATGCAGTTAGTTAAAGCACAATATATGAAAGTCATTTATGTATGTGACACTGGTGTTCTTCAAGTGCAATCCTGCAAGGCTACCTCACTATACAGTGTGGTATTTTCCTTGTTTTTAACAGACTTAATGAAAGTAATTGTGCTTTTTACATGTGGGAAAAAAGTGTGAGTCAGTTGTGTTAAAGCTTTGAAATGTTGTGATCTTCCAGGACAATTATATGACTGCTAAACATGATGACAAAAATGTGCATGAAAACTGTGCAATAGTCAGCACTACCATATGTAGCAAGGCACATGACTTCTGTCTGTCCACAAAAATGTATGGTATTTCACAGTAAAACATTTGGTCGTCTGATCAAACCTGAATCAGAATCTTGCCATGGGGTTGCAACACAATGCCCCTTTTTATTACCACACATGAGGAAACCATATAAGAGTACCACAAGGACAAAACCATTTCAGACTTCATGTTTTAGCTTTTCTCATTACGCTCTACCTGAGGCTTCAGTGTCTGATGTATATATGGGTACAGTATATGATGTTTTAAGAAGGCTTTTTATGACAATGGATGATTCAGAACGTGGTTTGGACGCAGAGAACCGAGCTGATGGTTAAAGAGCTCGGAGGAGACGTAATGCCGGAGGTCAAGCTATTATTTTTACCACTGACCCAGAAGAGACTGGCCAAAGGAACGTGATCTGTTCTGCAGGCGGGTCTGCAGCAGAAAAACTCCGTTCTGATGCTCTCCTCCTGAGCAATGAGTGAAAAACGTGTTTGGGAGTCTAGCAACTCAGTGTTTGGCCCATAACAAACAAAAAAAAGGGATGGAGACTGATAGAAAAATACATCATGTTCATTAAGAAATATCAGTACAGGTTCAAGTATTCAGGTCCTCTCTAGAACAGCTGTTACATGGACTGATCTTGGAATAGCCCAGATCTCAGACATCTGGATCTGTTATCATTTCACCATGAGCAGAGTGTATCTGGTAGGTGCGGTTTGCCCTAAATGCTTGAAAACTGGGTGATTGCCTTAAGGATGATATGTGTTTATTTGATTTGGTAGAAGATGACCAACATGCTTCCCCTTAGTCCAAAATGGAAAACACCAAGTTAACTGGTATAGCATATCCAGTTGGCAGTGATCTTGTCTCAAACTGAGACAATAAAATAATACATAATTTAGTGCCATTAAAAATCTCTAATTCATTGTGAATTCTGCTTTTTTAATACTGATATTGCCAAAGGCCCCAATATACAAATTAATTTACTAAAAAATCACAGATTTTTTTTTCACTGTGTGCTATGGATATTCTGACCAATCTATGTTCAATATACCTTTATCTGGGTATTTTGGAACATTGCAATTGTGAAATCACAGTATGACATTTTGTATATACTGTGCAGCTACAATGTGCGTTAACGTAAAACATCTATTAAATCAAGGTGTATCAAAGCTTTCCATTGCTAGAGTAATAATTAGCTCCATTTGAAGAAAGTTTACCTAGGTAAACTACTTTTTGTTTTTCAATTATCAAAAAGCTTATTGCAAAAACCAAAACTATCACAACATGATTTTTCAGAATACTGTTCAAATGTAGCATATTTCTTTTTAACGGTGTCTATTTCATCTGAAAGCTTGCTCTGGGAAGACGATTCCTTAGGGTCTTCGAACGTCTGCTGAAACGAGCTGTGTGTGTGAGAACAAGAAGCGGGGGTCTCATATCCAACAACTCAGATTATTTTCTCTTCTCTCTGGGATTAGAGCGAGATTGCCATGTTGACATTCCCCCAAGGGAGATCAAACAGCAGCATGGACTTTGTCATAATAAAGGATAATTGCTTTATTAGCACCTGGGACAGGCTTAACTGAGAGCCGTTTGATGTTCTGTGCACACATCTTTTCATGTCTTTCAGAGAGAGCCAAATTGGGGTTTTTGACTTTGCCAACTTAATCCTCATCCTTCTTGAAATGATAATGATTTTCTCCAAAGAATAACGAACTTGAGCAAATAAACAGACATGGGGGGGAGAAACAAACCCAGAGAAATGGGAGAGGCTGAATGAAGCCAAGACAATTAATGAATAATAAAGAAGAGTGCACTGCCTAGTAAGGCTATGTGACTATCCGTTCTGCACCAGAAAATGAATTAAATTACAAGAGATTACAGTGTTATTTTGTTTCATTGAGAGAAATATCTGACAGCGGATGCTCATGTGCCAAAAAGAGAACCCTGTAATTTTTCTCTTAAGCTCATAACTGTGGTATAGATCAGAATGAAAGACAGTCATTCGAAAAAAAGGAGCAGCATTCCCCTGGCTCAACTTTATTACAGCATGTAGTGTTAGTGGATTCTGACAATCTCATCTTTTTTAGCCAGCCATCTGTTTAACACAAGCCTTTGGAGAATTGTAACCACAACGATGGACCAGAATTTGGTTTGGAAATACTATTACAGGAAGACTAATGCACATATTTTTTGAAAAAATCAAGCTAATTGACCTTTGGAAGAACGTTCTAACTGCAAAGATATTTAACAGTGCTCTTACTGGTGTACACTAATGACTAGCGGTACATGCAGCTGAGACGGATGCTGTGGTTTTGCTACAGCAAGAGACGCCTGGCTTAGTGGAGACTCAGCAATGAACAGTGACAGCACGCAAGGGAGTTGTACTGAGTGCAGTCACACTCCACAGTCATTTGGATTTGGCGAGAGTGGGTCCAGCTCAACCTATCCATCTCCCAGACCCAAAAAAGAACAGAACCTCACCTCCATCTTGGATGATCTACACATACTGTTTCACTAAGTGGAATAGGCAGTCGTTTTGCAGCCATCAACATAATGAGCTGGTTTAGGAAGACAGACAAATGATGCAGTAATCATTGGGAACTTTATTGTTAGGTCTAGCCATTCAGGTCTTCAGGCATACTCTGAAGTGTAGGTGGTTAGTAGACATCATGCTTTTGTACTGATCTGAGACCCACTATGACGTTTGTGAGTAACATAGGGGAAGCTGGTCCAAAATTACAAAGTTTCTCTCGAAGGGCAACATCAAATGCAGCATCAGTTTGTTTAGCTCATAAGCTGCATTTTCAAAGGTGTGCCATTTCTAGTTTTCAGTAGAATAGGACATTGAGAAAACTGTCAAACAGTGAAATATTTGTGAAATCAAGAAGAGCACTGTTTCCATGGTTCTTAAAGACTCTAAACAATCATTGGCAGTCACTTTTCCCTGAGAAATGACAGTCTTTTCCAATGACATTTCAATGAAAAAAGGACACCGAGGATATTTGAGAGCAGATTTACCATGGACAATGCAAGGAAGTCAAAAATAGGTTAAATAAATTACTACCATTTTACTGTCATCAAAAGAAGTGTTTTGACCGCAAGTGACCACAGAGAAAACTTGAGAAAGTGACTATGCTGTTTCCGTACAGTCCAGAAAAAGGTGATTTGATGATATAAAAAAAGGACAGACCTTGTCACTGATAAGAAGCACCACTCTTCCATAGAACCCCTGGAGCTTTTTTTGGTCATCTTCGCAACCTAGCTAAAGTATTGTAACTTCGATTGAGCGAGCATTTCTCATATGAGTAATGAGTAAACAGTGCAACTGCAACAGCATTAAATATACCGTGTTTGTGCACTTGCATGGAGTACATTTAGGACCTTTTAGGGCCTTTTGTGTTTTTGTACTTCATGTACTTCACATATACACACAAATTTTGCGATTCAGTACACATCCATGCATTCTTAAGATCTTGTTGATGTGGGTTTATGTTAGTTTCCTCCCTTTCAACAATGGGCAGAAAAGCTGACTGAGTGTTGATAATGCCCCCTTGTGGAAAAGTTTCAGCCTTCTAAACATGAGTAAGTGAGTGACTGTGTGTGTTACAAATTGAAACCATGAGGTGCTTTACATTTAACAGCTTATCACACCTCCAGGCAGTAGTGGAAAGCCAAGCACAGTCTGTTAGCCTTAACCACTTTGCACGCAGTAGAGGCAGTCTTGTTACATCATGGCCCCACTCCACCCCTCTTAAACCCATCAGTGCCCTGGCCATGTTAGTCCTGACCCCCTGGAACGCAGCATGGGCCAGCAGCAAGCCTTATTGAAAGCAGACCTAGAGATGCAGCAGCCATAACTAGAGAGGCGCAGTTTACTGCTTTATTTCATCTGGATAGGCTGGGCGGCTTGTGCCGCTGACTCAAGTTTACTGAGCAGAGGTCAGGGCTCACGCTCCGACCCGTAAGTCTTTTTCATGAGGGCCGCTCCTCTTTCATACAGTTGTCCTGTAAATCCTTTGAAGTTGGACCTTTAAAAAGGGCTGAGTAGTCGTTATGCGAAGTTGTACAGAGCTGGCCTTGTAATGTATGTCCACGTTTAGATCTTTATTTGTTTAAGAAGCACCACTGGATCTGAATTTATTCCCTCATGTGGCACATGGTTCTGTGGTAGATTTTAAGACTTAGAGAAAAAACAAAGCTGAAAGTGAGGTGACTTATTTACAAATGCTAAGGAGATAAAGAGTTTTTGTTATGTCTAGCATTCGTTCAGTGTGGCTAGCGGTTCCTTTATGTTTTTATTTGTGGAGGAGATATTGTCTTGTTCTTTGTGCTCCAAATTCTGGAATTTAGTCTACAATTGCACTGTTTAGACCACAGACCATGTATTTTTGAAGAAGTACAGATGCTAAATCTGAAGTCATAATAGAACTGCATTTTGACATGATTTGTACCAGTTTTTCCTCTCTGGCAGGAGTTGATATATTCTGACCAACTTGCTTTTGCCTTCTTTCCTAGGAAGTGTGTAGAGAGCTCTGGTGCCTTAGCAAAAGTAACCGCTGTGTCACCAACAGTATCCCAGCTGCAGAGGGTACGCTATGCCAGACTGGCAGCATTGAAAAAGGGGTAAGTCAGCCTCTATACTAATACAAAAAACTCACAAGTGTTGACTTAACTCTTCAAATGCCCATCTTAACTGAAGACTATACAGGTAAACAGTAGATAAATTGAGCACTTTATGAGTTATGTCAACAAATGTAACAACCCTTTGTGGGCATTCATTCTGAAATATTTATTTTAAATAGCAAAGAAGCAAAAACTCCCAAACACACCTACTAAACCTGGTGATTAACAGAAGAATTGAAAAAGTTATGTTTTAGCAGAGAAATTGCCAAACTGTGCAGGACTCCAGCCCTCCAGGACCAGCGTTGGCCATTCTGGTTGTGTAGCATGTACTTAAAGGAATATTTCACCCAAACATGGCTTCACTGACTATTCATCAAAATTGACTATGGGTAACCAGTAAGAATGAGACTTGCACTCTGATTACAAAATTTGCATAAATTAACTGTCCCTTATGATATAATTGCATTATTAACAGCAGTCTGTTTTTAGGTATAATATTTCTTCGATTATTTCTCGTTAGCAGTCTGTGTAAATTATTCCTATATTTATTGCCCATTATTGTGACTTAATCATACACAAATGTGGCAACGTTTTACTCCCCCACCCGCAGCTACTCTGAGATGGGCTAGTGGGAATGTTTTGAAATGCCAGGTAGGCATCTCAGGCAGTGGGAAAGAACCCCCTGCCAGATTAGGGGAGAGAAAGGCATGGGTGTGGTGCTCGGGGCCAGCTGTGATTATTCAGCCCCCTGCTCATTGTACCAGATCTGGGAATAAGAAGAGCCATTCCCTACGCTCGCTCATGCACACAGCGTTTGGGTCACCAGTTCATGCTGCTGCCGGGCCAGGTTAGGGAGACAGTTTTAACAAAGATTACGGCCGCCATTGTCGCCGCTCGTACGATGGCTAAAGGGGAAGAATGAGAGAGGACCACGGGCTGTCGTCCTTCGTTACCATTAGCTCACTGGAGCCATTCACTGCCAAGCCTGTGTGCGTCGTCCTGGACAACCAGCGGGCCCCAGGTTGAGCCGCTGTTTTTTTTCAGCGAGTGGCATACTTATGTCTGCCCCTGGCCAGCCTGGCATCAAAGGAATATGAATGTCAGCCATTTCTCACCCAGCGTGTAACGTAGTGGGGGCCTGGAACAGTGTGGATGGGCTGGAGGGAATGAGAGAAGAAACCACACATGCTTTTTGATAGCTGTGAGAGTTCACAACAAAGTATACATTTAATCTTGCTTCCTGTAAACTAAGTGTATTTATTTCTAAGTGAAGATGAATGGTAAGAATTTTACTACTACTACTAGCTTTTTACTTCATATATATTACAGAATAAAAATGCATCAGTGTATCATGAGTTGAAAATCTAAAGGTAGAGATTTAACTGAATCAATTTTGGAATGTTAGAATTCATTTAATCTACTATAATAGGATTCAGCTGTGTACGCTCATTATTTGGTCAAAATAATATTTTCAGCCTACTTTCAAACATAACAAAGTCAGATGTATTGTTTTTGTATTGTCCATATCCCACTACTGTATAAATAGCTAATAACTGAGTCAAATTGCATATTGAATTACAGTGAAATCTCATGATTTCGTAATACATTAAACAAATTTCTAAAGATTCATAATAAAATGGAAATCTATGTTAGGTCAGAGATTTACACCCTTAGTTTATACCACTGATTTGCTCATATTTATAGCAATTCATGCTCTTTTTAATGCACCATTAGCTACTGAGTGTTGGAAAAAAGATGCAGCAAAGCTTACTAATACTTATTAAAAAAAATCTTTGATTCTAGAACCGCAAATTCCTGATCTAAACCATTCATGATAAAAGACAGTACCTATCAATTCCTATCTACCTGTTTTGTCTGAACAGATCATTTCTGTGTGACACTGAGAACCGTCTAGGTCTTGAGAGGCAGATAGGGGCTGCTGAAGCTACATCAGACATTTTCAGATAAGACATTCTTAAACATTCTTGGACATTCTTATTTCTGGTTTACTTAGTATCATACCTGCCCTGGTGTGTCTACCTTTCTCTTTCTGTCTGCCTGTCTCTGTCTCTCATCCTCTCCTGCCGTTGATAATCTTGTTTATATAGGGTCTTAGCACATTACCCTGATTTTAGATGCTAGCCACCGAGGACACAGTTCTGCTCCTAGCCAAGTTCTTCTCCCTTGATGGTGAGAGAGTGGGAAGGAGGGAGAAACAGGCAGAGAGAGAGAGAAAGAGAGAGAGAGAGAGAGAGAGAGAGAAAGATAGATAGGTATATAGATAGATAGAAAGAGAACCTAACCTACTGACACAGTTGTGCAGTGAGGACAGACTGTCTCTACTGTCTCCGCCAGCAGGCCTCGTGGTTCTGCAGACAAAGACTGGATTATGCAGGGTTGTTTGTAGAAAGAAGATTCCACTCGGTCTAGAACCTGTACAGAGCCCAGGGTCTGTGTGCCAAGGAGCTGTATTCTTTTAACAATGTAGGTTTGGATTAGGGACACTTGGTAGATGCATCATGGCTACACAGTAAAGCCAAAACTCAGTGAGTGAGAACGTAAAAGAGTGATTTATTTTTCTTAAAAAGATACACTGGTGATTTTTCCTGTTTTTTGCGTAAAGGTTTTTGCAGTTTTAATAATTACCATAAATATTGCTGCTCTTGCAGCAAAACATCCTATCTCTGAAAGAGATGAAGTAACTACATGGCAGAACGAGAAACACTGTTAACATCTTAAGTAATTTTGGACTATTTCTCTTGGTCTATTCCCTATGAAATATTAATTTAATTAAGTTTTCTTATGACAACAACAATATGCAAACAGATATAACTTTTCTATCGCAGTTGTAATGCAAAGATGCAGTGTTCTCAATGGTGATACAATAAATGACTATAAAGAGTTACATCTCAGTGCTTCCTTTAAGACCAATCAATTCACTACCACTGTTTCTTTCCATCTTGCGTGTTTTTATGTTTAAGTGGTGCTACCAGGGCGAGTGTGTGACATTTGGGACGTGGCCGCAGAGCGTGGATGGAGGTTGGGGTCCCTGGTCCATCTGGGGCGAGTGCAGCCGGACATGTGGAGGTGGAGTGTCTTCATCCATGCGCCACTGTGACAGCCCAGCGTAAGTAGGCAAAGTAAGCCTGACCAGGCCCCTGTCTTATAGCTCAGCTCACCTCATGCAAGTCTATTTTTTCTCTTCTCCTTGATTCAGCTTGAAAAATTAAATGTAATTACAAAATTATATAATGAATTACATGGTTATGTCTTGAACGCAGCACTTAAGGATGCACTGAAGTCTGCTAAGAATGTTTTTCTTTCGGCAAAGCAAGAGGAAAGTACTGATACCAGTGCTGACAGTAATCAGAAGTAATTTCTAAATAACAGTTTCGTCATCTGCTAGTAGTACATAGGCCTAATTCACTCTATTCATTTTTATTTTCAAACATGCAAAAATGTTTTCTGCCACTGGAAGGAGATTGCAGTCAGTCTTCTATTGTTCTCTCTTAGTTTGATTTGTCTAACATTTGTCCAACAGTTTAATTTGCCCTGCTGGACAAAAAATGATTATATTGCTGTTCCTGTTGTGTTGAATGTTTCTCGGTTGTGAAACAAGGCCATCCCCGCCCCCCCCCTTTTTTCTTTCCTATTCCAACCTTTTCTGTTGTGGCCACAGGAGCTCTGAGCTGGGCCGGCTGCAGACAGAGTTTTGGGTTTCATTCCACGTGCTTGCGGAAATGTCTGTCCTCACACTCTCCTGACAGCCTGTGGTGGGGAGTGTGGCCCGCATAATCTGTAACACCTGTGTAAGGTGATCAGGCCGGGTACCTGAAAGGCGTGGGGAGAGGAAACCCGAGACTCAGAGCAGAGCTTGCCTGGAAAGCATTCATTAAAGAGTGGGCCTTTAGAAAGAGGCACAACCAGGCTTCTGTCCAACAGCTCGAGAGAGAGTGAGAGAGCAATAAATAGAGAGAATGAGAGTGATAGAGGTAGGGAGAGAGAAAGAGAGAGTCAGAAAGAGCAGGGGAAGTAAGATAGAGAGGAAAAAAGACAGAGAGAGAAGAGGACACCTGAGATCAGTCCAGTCAGTGTTGGCCTGTGGGTCAAACTCTCTGAGCAGTCCAGAGTTTTTCTGCTAGACCGGCAAGATATGTAAGCACACTGCAGTGCACGCTGCCCTGCTGGTCGCGGCAACCTGAACCATCTGGAGTTCCCTGTCAAACAACAGTAACTAGAAACTAGCTTGAAGAGCTGAACAGTTTTCTAAATGCTCCTGTATGGTGTATGGAGTCTTATTTAAATGAAAAGACGACTGCTCACCTCAAAGCTTTACTACTCATAAACAAGCATTTTTTATTCACTTTGCCCTCCAACACAGAACCCTATAGTTACACTGAAAGAAGCCAAATGTCTTGCATTATGTATACAGAAAAAATAACCTCTTACTACTAAACTATTAAAATAATATGACAATACTGTATTTTAATACTATTACTATTAAAATACATACTTGTAATAAGCTGCCAGACCCAGAGATGGAAGAAACTCCCATCTAAGGGGCAGTTTTTGTTTCTGTTATAGAGTTTAAAACTAATGTTTATTTAACATACTTACCTACGTGTAGTAGATTAGCCGGAAATGGACACATAATCTATTTTGCATGGCTGAAAACAGTAGTAGCAGTAATCGTGCATTTCTATAGATAATATGATTTACTCTGTCAGAAATAGGTATGGGTATCTTTCATCATACTTTTTCTGTATGCATATCGTAAGCAAATGTTTGAACACCCCAGGTCAAATGGCATGTTTTGTTGATTTTCTAAGCCAAAATAAGTTGACACATCCCCTACTTAAATATTGCAAATTGTAGTGCACAATTACTATTTAATATAGTTTGAAATAGTAGGAGAAACATAAGATGTAAAATGTGCCGTAACTATTGCACAGTTCATATTTTATGTTTTAATAAAAAAAAAGGGTAAAATTTTGATACCCAGCCAATATTTAGAAACTACTTAAGCAAGTCTATTTGAGATTACTTAGCAACTCAATGCAGTTTGATGACTTAGGCATGCAATTTGCACAGTGCCAAATGGTGAGTATCAAATTCCATTACTTGGCTACATTAGCCTCTTATCTCCAGCACAAAACTAAAGAACTATACTTTGCACACCAAACATGTCAAAGCTGACTGACTGCATTTGGGAAAGACTGTGTTTACAAATCCAAGTTCTTTGTGTGCCACAGCAAGTAAAGAGTTTATGGGTTCCTTTTCTTTAACACATTGATTTAAGTCATGAATTAACTGTTAACCTCTTCATGAGTTAAATCACAAGGTGTGTTTCAGTGGGGGCAACTATGCCATGCAGTGACCGTCCAAGAGGGGGGGTTAAGTAGCGCTGGTGAAGGTCAGAGGTTGGGGAGGTGTTTGTTGATGTTGAGGTGGAGTGAAAGGGCAACCTAACCCCACACATAACAGATTACCAGATGGCTAGACCTGTGTGATCTGATAATCTGCTTTTCGGTGGTAATAAAGTCTTCAGCACCCAAACCTGACCCTGCTCCATCCCCTGGGAACAGCCTGCGGAAGGCTTTCATTTGTGCCACCTTCCCCTCCCTGGAGGAGCATCCTCACACTCATCTATCTCCACTCAGATGTAATCTCGGCCCAGCTGGAGGGAGCTGGCAGAGTTGAATGATTACTCACCCTCCACCCCAAACCCCCCTAATGCTGCTAATTATCCAGCCTTGTGGGTGCTTCCTAGGGGTGTGTGAGTGAGTGTGTGTGTGTGTGTGTGTGTGTGTGTGTGTGTATGCCATGTTGATACTGAAGTTACTTGTGTGTCTGGCCCTGAAAGGCCATGCAAATGTATTGCAGATGGTCCCTGGTGTTGACTGGAATGTATGTGTGTGTTTTTGTTTTTTTAGTTTTTTTTTGTTGTTTTGGGTTTTTTTTCTGTGTCCTTCAACGTGATGTCTTAGTAAGGAGATTTCCTGATTGGTCTATTTTATTCTGATTTTTTTTCCAGGCCATCTGGTGGAGGAAAGTACTGTCTTGGGGAGAGGAAACGCTACAGGTCGTGCAACACTGATGTGAGTTCCCTCTCTCCCTTTTGCTTCTTTATGTACAAGCAAGGGTTAAATTGGGTGGAAGTGGATGTCCAGCACATTTGGTTTACGTGAACAGAGCTGAGCACCAATACTGTAATTTGATGGAAATGTAAATTGTTTCCTAATACAATCTTCGTGAAATCTGTTTAACTATTCATTGAGATAAACCATGCTAATGTACAAGCTTATGTCTAGCATACATGATTTCCACAATCATGTAACTTCCTGCTATTTCATGGTGTTTTACCATTTAGCATTGTGCTGAAAAAGTGTCTATCCTAGTTCACATAGTCAGATTAAATTGTCACTAGCAAGGTAGCTAAATCAAACGTTTTCATACAGTAGGCCTATTTCGTGTGAGTAGATTGTAATTATATTGTACTTAATGACATTTCCTTTTCTGCCAACTGGCTATTTCTAACTTGCACTAGCTAGCTTTATCTTGAATATACTTTTATCTAAAGGCCTATTCTAAGTTGCAAATGAAATTGTTTTTAAGAAAAATACAAATAGTCAAGTTGATGCCTATGTATAAAATAATTTCCAAAGCAAAAAAAATACATTTAAATTCAAAAAATGAAACCAAACAAAACAATAAAAAATGAATGCCCCCCATCAAGTGGCCTCAGCATGTGTGTGTTTTTTTTTCTAATTCCTGTTAGAAAAGCAGCCCTCCTTATGAAGGCTGGCTCTACATAAAGCTGCTTGAGAGAATGCAAAGAGCATGTAAAGCTTCCTCAAGGAAACAGGGGGGCTACTAATAGATTTATAGAAGGAGTGTCAAAACGTTTGACTGGAAGTGTAGATATATTAAAAACTATCTTTGCATCGCTTGCTTTTTTCAGGTGGAACTTTACACAGAAAGGGCTACCGTTTTCTTCCATAGATCCAGATTCATAAAACACAGCGACAGATTTACCGTGAAGTTAAATACGGCAGGAGCAATTCATAACTCGACACACTCTCACAGCCTGAACCCCTCTGGCGGTAACTTTTCCCGATAAGAAGCCGAAGTGTATTAAAATACATTTTCTACAATTTTTACAAACATATTTGGTACAACAAATTGCTCATGTACCCACTCAGCTAATTAACAAATATATTTAGAAGACACATCATGGCAAACTTTATAACTGCTGTTGTAGGAGAACAGAGGAGAAAAAAGACTTTTGCAGGATTTCATATTGCCATACTGACACCGTGCTTAAAACAGCCTTTTCCTCTCGGGTATGGATATTAGGTTTAGCTTGTAATTTAAATAAGCACTTTGTATAAGAGTATAAGAGTTATACTATATAAGAGTATAAGAGTACTTTCACATGTTGAGATTTTAATAATATGTTTAAATTGATTTTTCAAAGGAATTCAATTTACACATGTGAAAATGACATTTGAAAATGACATTTTAACAGTGAAAATTTATTTCTTACAAGTAAAAAGGGAAATTGTACCAGTCGATATTTAATATTTAATTTTTACACATGCAAATCCAATTCCTGATGTCAATAAAATTAATTATTAATATTAATAATTAATTGTTAAAATTCAATGTTTGCATGTGTAAACTGAATTCCTGAGATCAAGACAAAATGGGAAATAAAAGCTAAAATGGCTTGCCATAGTAATTAGTTTCAGCATGTCAATTTGATTCGTATTTATAAAAAAACATGTTAAATGTTAAACATGTTAATTAATTTTAGTAAAAATTATTACTGTAATTATAATGAATTGTAAAAAGACTTGAATAATAATTCATTATTATTTTTATCGTTGTTGTATTGAAAAATGAAACATTACATGCTAAAATATTATTCCTACAGTTAAATATTTAATTTTAAAATGTTATAATTAGATTGTATTTTTATACATGTAAATTTTTAATAGTAAAACCATGTTCTGATAAAAATGTTTTTCAGCATTTCTTCTCTTAAAATTTGTAACTCTGTTGAGAATTTTCTTGTTTCTGAGAATTTTCTTTGTTTTTGTTTCTTTTGGGAGCCACTCAGAACTTGTTCATTTTGTTTTGGCCACATAAAGGATGACTTTATGAATAACTCTTATTTCCAGTGCTGCACATTTTGCGTAGCGTAGCGTTGTTAACACTGAGTTTTATTAATCTGGTCCATTGTACTGTAATCCAGTTTGTGTCATATTTCAGGGGCTGGGCGGCAAACACTATGGAGTGCCCTTTGCCACCCCATAGATACGCCTGCCTAACACTGTGAAATAAGTTTAGGAATCACCACATCTGGTCAGTCAGATGTAAAATTTTAGATTTTTAATTCATGTCTTTGTTCCATTGTGTAAGAAATTTACACGGCTACTTACAGAAAACGCATTTATGCATTTATAACATTTAGAGTCAACAGCAGCATATATTGAAATGTTTATCAGTCCACTTGTTTTGCACTGATCTCAGATCAGGTTTTGGGCCGTTTTGGTGAGGGTTTTGGTAAAGGGAGATTTATATAAGATGTACCCAGAATAGAAGGAACACAGACATTATCACAGCTGGTGTTTTAATGCAAGCTCACTGATGCCATTGTGCTGTCTGAATAAGGAGTTTGTTTTATGAGCTATAGAGGGACACATGGTTACTCTCTCTATCTGTGGCCTAATTCTACCCCAGTTATTAAAGTTATTCATTGCCAGATGGGCTTTGCTGTATCATTCTGAGAGCTGTCAAACTTGCAGAGTTCAGATGCAGATAAATAGGAAGGCTGTGAGTGCTTTTTAAATTTATGAAAGGGGAAGATCTAATGCCTTAGGGCCGTTAATCAGCTAAAGTGTGTATTGTCATGGGTTTTGAAATGTACATTGATTGATTTTCTTACTATCTGTTATTCAAGTCGTAAAGTATAGACTGTGCTTCAAAAAAATCCTTTAGTGGTGTATTTAGCATCAGTCACCGTTAACTGTATAGTCTATAAAGACTGACATATTTTTTTTCTACAAGTTGTTAAAAAAAAAGAATTAACGTGAACAAATATTTTTGTGAAGCTGGAAATGCACATTTCCCCTTCCTATCTATTTAAAGGTGGCCTGTTTTTCTTAAGGTGAAAATTGAGGCAGTTAGGGGGCCTCAAGGCTATTCTACCACAGATCTTAAAAATAACAGCCCAGGGCAAGCAGCAGATGTTTACTTTGGAAAACAAACACCATGCCCCAAACCACTATTTCATCCCACTGAAAGCTGCGCGTCCAAAACAAATGGATCGTGGATGGTCTAGGTTCTGCTGTGACATTCGGTCAGGCCCAGGCCCGGTACACTGCAAACAGCATACAGGAGGCCCAGGCATGGAGTGGACCAGTCTGAAAACAATGCTCTCAATGCAAGGCCTTGACATGATTAGCTCTGTGACCCTATGGAATGCAAATGAAGTTCTCGAAGGAAATAGCTAAGGGGCTAAGGCTGCTCTTCCTCAGGCTGGACTCTGAGGCTGTTTTGGGGTGTTTCTCTCCATCGTCTCAATTTATTATGACTTAAATCATAGAGGATGTGGCCCCCTGTGGCTATTGTTCGGCCCTGAGCAAAAGTCTGCTTGTTCTGCTTCTCACAACAATGAGCTAATCTCTCCTGCCCCCTCCTCCCCAGCTCTCTCGCTCTCTTCCCTCTCCCACTGCTGAGTGCAGTCGCTTTCTGTTATCTGACCGCTGACATCATGACCACAGGGTGATACTGGAGGCACTATGAAAGGGAGCTGGTGTGAAGTTAAATGACAGTAATTGGGACTGAGGCATCAAAGGCTACAGGCAGGGCTATTTATGCCTTTGTCCACTAAAGACACAGAAATCCACAGATGTGTGGAAAAGCTGAGAGGATTAATTTTCACTTTGGTCCAGCAGGACAGAGAGGGACAGAAACTCAATCAGATATAAAAATCCTGAGGGCCAGATACATGTATGAGCAGGTGCAGCGCAAATGCACTCACGGTGTGTCTGAAATTAATGCTTAATTTACTAAGGCTGCTTATTTGGCATTATGTCTTCTCACACGTACATCTGATCTTGAGAACCAGATAAAGTTATTTTGTTTGTAAGTGTGCCCTGCGATGGACTGGTGACCTGTCCAGGGTGTATCCTGCCTTCCGCCCAATGACAGCTGGGATAGGCTCCAGCACCCCACCGCGACCCAGAAGGATAAGCGGTTTAGATGATGTATGTATGTATGTTTGTAAGTGTTCTTTCAGTATGTGTTTGAGGCTTGTGCCTCCATTTAACTGCTGTATTTGCTGCTATTGTTAAAGAAAAACTCCCGACACTACAACTTTGTGACATTACTGAAAATTTACACCTGCTTTTAGAAGGTGGTGAAAAATCCACACGAAATCAGCTGACACTAGTTGCTCAGACTAATAAATTGAGCAGGATATGTAGCAGTTACACTTCCAATATCTTTGCCAATTTTCTGTGCGATCCTCCCATGTTTTGCCCAATCCTCTCTTAAATGCATATGTACGAGGGAGAGAAATACATTTTACATGTTCCAAACACTGCTTGTTTAGTGTAACTTGCCTGTTGTGTACATAATGCAGGCGGAAGGCGTCCAAGTTGCACCTGAAACTACCACAGGAGGCTTAGCATATTGGGCTTTGAGGGTGGCCTAGGAAAGCAAGAAGGTTTAGAATACTAGATCTGATTAACTTGCTAATGACTGCTTTAGAAATGTTTTAGATTTTGTTATCCTGAGATGTATTGTTAGAATTGAGCTTGATTTTGCATCATGCGGTCAACACAAACTGTGTGTTCAATTCACAGCTCTCAGTGCAAGCTGTGGCCCAAGCTGAACTGAATCTCTTTGGTGCCATCTATTGTCTCCTCAGCTTTAGTCTCATAAACTCTAATTAGCATAGAGTTATCTGAGTCCCACCTGTATAAGAACCAACCAAGCTCTCTCTTATTACAAACAACTTCTAAGGGCAAATACTTCACTTTTTAACAAATACACAAAGGCTATAAACACCATTATTGCAGGGCCACTTCAGGGTCACAGTTGCTTCCTTCCATAATGGCTGTGGGAAGAGTGTTTCATAAATCAGTGATTAAACACTGTTATCTTGAGATGAAAAGAACTTTTGTCATCATCTGTAGGACAGCTGAATCAGTTCATCAGGAGTTAGAAAACCTCTCAGTTTTGGGTTGTTCGAATGCTCAGGTTTTGAAAAAAACACACTGCACTGACTAAAATATCATTTGTGTCTGCCCACAGCCTTGTCCAGTGGGGTCACGAGACTTTCGGGAGAAGCAGTGTGCTGACTTTGACAGCATGCCTTTCCGTGGGAAGTACTACAACTGGAAGCCTTACACTGGAGGTACGTTCCAAGCATGAGACAACAGGCAAAGAAAGCTGGACAGAGCTGCGGGTTATGGCTGTGAATGACTTGGCTGGGAAACTCTTCAAATCTCCTACCATGTCATTGGTAGGGCTTAGGACATGCGGACACCTACACATACACATAGCAAATGTGCAGTGTGGTGGGTCACTAAGCGACCACACTCTCCCATGAAGCCTTCCCAGAGTCAGCGCTCCAGTGACAGTATACATATCAGCCTGCTTTGTGTACCCTGCTAACACCAACAATGTGGAAGTCGCTTTGATGGTCTGAAAATTCCTGGGATACCAGAGCGCCATGTCTTTGAAGGCTCTCTGAGTGAGTGTATCCCTGGTTGACTTCAGCCCTCTGTGCAATGGTAGCATAATGGAACAGTGTGCGACCACTGTCCCCATGGTCTTAGACACCTTTACCCATTTACCCATTACTCATTGCTTTTGAACCTAATACAAAACCTTTTTCAAAACTGCAGAGTGATGCTTAGAAGTCAATATTATCGTCATTTTCATTTTACATTGTTATTTTAAAGTAATTATATAATTAATAACATGACAGGTTTGCATTCTGTATTGACTGGATCAAGTCTGCACAAAACAGACAAAAGCAGCCAAAAATAAAGCATGCGTCTAAAAGTAATGGTGTACGGGAAGCACAATACTGTACCACATGGTAAGCAAACATCCACAAATGATAAGACAGACAACTATTTCATCCATGTTCTTTAGGAGAAAGTCGGGCTTCACGGCAGCATGTAGAAATCTATCTAATTTATCAGTTATGCTGTTTGTCAGATGTCTTATCAGAAAAGTATTGGTCCTCAAATTCAAAAGGATTACAGTGACACAGATTAATTCAATCACAGTATGTCATAGGAACCCTTTCCCTTAACTGGAGAATCACTATTTTACTTAGAATAGTTATGATTTACTTCATCACTGGAGTAATATGCCATGTCTTTGAGTACTGTTTAGTTCCTCAGTGTGTCACAACGCGCCACTCAGTGTTAACCATTGTTACATTAAATTAAAGCCATACTGAGTCCACAGAAAGCTACAGTAGATCACATATGGGTGAAATATACACAGAGAAAGGCAGTCAGTCTTTTAGGTAAACAGACAAATGCCAATGATATGTTACCTCAGCCAACATTACAGTCCTAGTTTTTTTCAGCTCGAAAACAGCCAGTCTGTAAAGAGATAGTAAACTGATGCCAAGCGTAATAAGTGATGCCGAACACTTTATTTTAATTTATACGAGTGTAAAAATGAACTTGAACCTGAATGGCTGAGGCACATTATGCAAATTGTTATATTTAATGTATTGATGTTGCTGATTACGTCAGTTAGTCGCCACACTTTTGACACATTTTCTCAGATTGTTCCGAAGAGCTACAAGTGAGAAATAAATAATACAATGTTAAGTCATGCTTTTGTCTGCAACGTCTAAGGGTTAAGCCTCACAGAGAAAAGAAACATTTCTTATTTACAGCAAGAGGGCAAGATGCCAGTAAACAAAGAAAAACTCTCCAAGATTGAAAACCGAGTCTGACTGGTTATAAAGAGAAGTTCAAAGCTACCTCAATCATCTCCTTATCGCTTGCCCCGTAATAACTATGGCAATTACCAATTGTTTGGCTCTGAGAAACCTTTTGAATCATGAACATCCTTGTAAAGAGAGCACGAGGGAGATAACCTCTGTCTGTTTGTTGGCAGCTTTGTTAATCTCTTCTCATGTCGGCGTAATTATGATGTCAGACTAAATGTTCAGTTCTTGCTATGAGTAATGCCTCTCTTGCGATGTGCATGGCTCTGACCCTACTTTTAACATAAACAAAGCAACAAGGAAAAAGCTCCGTCCCGCTTTAGCACCCGGCCCATGACAATCGCAAAGGAAAACAGTTTGTTTATTAGTAAGCAAAGTAAATGACTGACTTGTTTCCATGAGAATATCAGTTGATCATTTGAGATAAATCGCAGTGGGCTATAAGACACTTTGGTTTGAAGTAGTTACATGTGAACTGAGAGTCCTAGGACCTGGATACTTGAGCTGATAAAAAAAAAAAAAAGTTTTTTTAAGGAGGGTGACATCAGTGGCTTGACAGCACGGTCTGCTTGTGTTGCAGGTGGTGTGAAGCCCTGTGCTCTGAACTGCCTGGCTGAGGGATACAACTTCTATACAGAGCGCTCCCCTGCTGTCATCGACGGCACTCGCTGCCAGGCTGACTCTCTAGATATCTGCATCAACGGAGAGTGTAAGGTGAGAAGCTCTTTTTCTCTACACAATTTGAGATGTATCTGATTCATAACAGATAGTTTGGCAAAAAAATCTAAATTTCCTTTTACTCCAGATGTACACAATCAGTTTGCTTCTGTAGTTTTGCAGTGGAGCTACGTGGCTATTGTAGCTAACAAGTAATATAATCATCATATAATGGAAGCATCATTCAAACTCCATGCCTCCATGTTTGAGTAAACTTGGATACACGTGCTGGACTGACACAGTGTTATGTGTAAAAATGGACAGAAATTCCCACTGAGTACTGAACTGGTACATTTATTTCAGGATCATCATAACATTTTCAGGTTCTCAAGGGGTGCAACTGTAAGCGTTGGCTCTATGAGTCATGAATTCAATCTTTGACTATGCCACAGCCGTCCTTGGCTGCAAATCCAAGACAGTATAATTGCCCTTGCTCTCTTTGTGAGTGAAATGGTCTTCCCTCTCCCCCATCACTCAGTGAGATGCCAGTGTGGGCATCTGTTAGCTGATGTAGCAGAATTGGCCATTAGTGTTCTCCTCAAAGTGTGCTGAGCTGTCCAGTGTTAACATTAGTTTGAAAAGCTGTGGTGGCGCCTTACCCTCCCAATTTGGCAACACTGTGTGACAATGTGAGACCTAAATCAGTAAGTGAAACTGGCAGTGACTAAATTGGAGGGGAAAAAACATGTTCATTAACAATGTACATTGTGTTGAATGGACAGCCTATATAAAGTGAACACTAGGTTGGGGTCTCTTGCACACTGTAAGGGGGGAGGGGTCTCGAACTCATAAATTATCTATGTTATGTCAAGCTTTTGTTAAAACCAATCAATAATACAACAGATCTGACTGAGAAAAAGTCAAATAGATACATATGTTGCTGGATGTGCTGGTGTGCTGGCTGCCTGAAGTGATAAGAACAATAGCTTGGACCCACACCAGCCCTTTGTGGAGACAGTTGGGAACCACTACAGCTTGCCAGTCTCCCAGTCTTCATATACTCCATGTGGTCTCCAAGCCTCTGAATTTAGCCCTTTTTTGAGGGTCTAGGCACAACACTGGTGAAGTGAATTATCTCTGTTTACCAGATACTAACACTCTCTGACTGACAGTCCACTGAACTAAAGCAGTCATGAATACAGAACAATGAAACCATAAAAAAAAAAGTTGATTTTTGTAGAACAAAAGGCTGTGAGGTTCTTATCAGAACAGAACACTTCTGGATCTTATTGTATTTTTGGACGTTTTGTGGGCCATACATGCCAAATTTAATAGGATACACAATTCAGTTAGAATATTATTTGTTTAATAAATGAATTGGCAGTGGTGTGGAGCTTTGTGCTTATTAGGAAGACGTTAAGAATGGGTCGACAGGAAGAATAGAATACGATATTGAAGCTTATTTGTGGTGACTCCGCATAGATGTCTGGAAGAGTGAGATACATAAACACTGTCTTTTTATACAGGGGATGGAAGCATGCAGCATATATATAACAGCGTGTAGATCTCTGGAACAGCAACTTATGTGCCTCACAAAGCCAACAAATGTTACAGAGGGAGGATTAAAAAGAGCAAGAGGTTCCACTCAGACAAAGAGAGGCAGACACATGTTACTGCTCACACTGGAGCTTCCCTTTGTGTCATGTTAGTGTTCATAAGTTATTGTCCATACGAACTAAATATATCTCAGAAATACCATCTCCATAGGGTCAATTTAGAGACTTTCTGGTTGGTCTTTTTCTGTTGTTCTACTATACATCTGAATCCTTTTTATTCTGTTTTTCTTTTAGTCTATCAAATACCTATGATGGCATTAGTATAAAACTACCTCATAAAATTAAGCTTAACCCCTTAAATCAAAGGCCCACAGTTTTATTACACACTTTCATCACTTAAGAATAACTAAACCAGTTTGTTTTGACATCCCTGTAGTTACTGAATAATAAGCTCTAGTATGTAATAAGCCTGGGATTTTGGATTTTAAGGGGTTAATCATCATGGCAGGTTCATTGGCATTGTACCCAGCATGCCACTACCGTGAGAACACTTCCACCATATGTGTATTTGCCTGGCACTAAAAACACTCTGTTGGTGTGTGTGTGTCATTCCAGCATGTGGGCTGTGACAACATCCTGGGCTCGGATGCCAGGGAGGACAGATGCCGTGTGTGTGGAGGAGATGGCAGTACGTGTGAAGCTACTGAAGGCTTGTTCAATGACTCGCTGCCCAGAGGAGGTCAGTGCTCACCAACCCCTACCTCACAAGCTGTACTGGTGTGAAATTAGATGCATTTTGGAATGTTATAATCAATTATCATTGATATTATGTCTAAGTAAGTAGGTATATGCTAATTTTTGTCCAATGTAAAACGTTCTGATTATTTTCAAAAATAAAAATCCAGCTTAGTGTAATGTACTTAACATATTCTATATTTTACTACTTTATATCTAGCTTCTCTAGTCTCATTGTCTATGTATTTTTAAAGGCCGATATCTTTCATTTTTCCTCAATTTTAGATCATTTTTTTTGTAGGCTCTACCAAAAACAGTTATAATTTATTTTTACATAACCACTTTCCAACCTCTCTTTACCCCTTAGGATTAAACAGGCTGTTTCTGTTGAGACTGAAATTTGTAAATGATTTCTGGCTGCACTGCATAGGGTCGCCCTAAAAAAAGCAGCTAAACCACTTCTTATAACTTCATTGTGTGGGTGGGTGGGTCTGTAGGCTGACAAGGTAGATAATACGCACGTGTTGGTTTTTGTGACATCACAAAAGCAATTTTATTTTTGCATCTTAGTTTCGATATATAGACTGTATGGTCTAGGGAGTGAAATTTTGAAACATTAACATTGTTGACATACTTCAAACCTTTTATTTTAAAGCGAAGAAATTTGATTTTACATGACATTGGCACTTTATTAATCAAATTCAGTCAAATTATGGTGAAATTTGAGATGTCCTGGTGCACTGAATCGTTTCCTAAAGAATTGTAATCAAATCGTTGTGAGGTCAGATATTTGCACCCCAAACAGGAACTCACCACAAGAGCAAAAGAACTGACTCCCTAGCCAAACAACGCTGACTAGCCATAACTAACTCCTCTCCTGAAGCACATGCTGTGATGTCATAACCATTTCCAAGCGGTGAGTTATAACAGTGTGGCGCTTTGGCTTGCGCGTATACAGCTCAGGCCTGTGGCCGCGGCGGCCCGTTTGAGGCGGCCCCTATAAGGCCGTTAAGTGCGTAAAATACAGCGTGCAGAAATCGGCCATGCATGAAAGCCTCTGCCGAGCGAGGATGTGGAATGAGAAGAGTAAGCAGAACCAGGGAGAGAAAGAGGGGGAGAGAGAGAGAGTGCTCCCCAGAACCCCATCAGACCAAGCCTTCCACACGCCTGCCAAACGCGACAAGTTTTTAATCGCTTTCTGCAAGAGACGTCCCTGCTGAAACGAGTGCAGTGCGAGTGAGCGGGGAACGCGCTGTTTTTTTGGCATCGGCCTTCTGTCACAGGGCCAGCAGAGCACCGCTGCCAAACGCTACATTTTTCATGGAAATGCTGTGGGATGTGCGCTGTCACCCAATGATAAAGCTTATGTTTTTGGGTCAAGAAACAAGTTGTCAAAATAGAAGTGGTAACTCAATATATGAGTATTAATTGCATCATCCACTGAGGGAACGAATAAAACTTCTAATATCGCATGCGTGTTGTGGGTTGGAGTCCAAGAGCTGTCTCTATAGAGCGAGGCCATTTTCTCCTTCTAAGGTATAGCTAGTAAATCATCCAAAATCTTTGAGAGGGAAGAGTGGGGTTCTCTGGGCGTAGATCCTTCTCTTATTATGGATTTGCTGTTTCTTATTTATTGCAGGCGTACTGTGAGCACGCTCTAAATGACTAATTTCATACCTATCTATGTTTCATCTCTTAGTCCATTCTGAATAAACAAAAGTCACTGGACACCTTATGAATGCATAACCAATGCTTACACTTGGAAAATCTTTAGGAATACTTGGAAGAGGGGGTAGTTTAAAATAGCCAAGACATTCATCTTTATTTGGTGTATGTAATATTCTAAGACATTCTAAGTGTGACTTCTGACTGATGTCTCAAGCTTTGTGACACCAGGCCATAATTTGAACTATTTCCCCTTTGCTAGGTTATATGGAGGTGGTCCAGATCCCCAGAGGCTCAGTCCACATTGAGATCAAAGAGGTGGCCATGTCAAAGAACTATATCGGTGAGTGCTTCAACGTTCCACAAATTTGGCCTTGGTCATTGGATAGTCAGGTCTGTGAAAATGACCATGTCATTTCCTGAGGTGGAGTCAGCCCTCAGGAGATGATGAGAAGTGGTATGTGCACCTCTTGGCATCCTTTTTGCAGGTGTAAATCTGAATCTCACTGACAACCACTCTTCCACCTGCAACAGCCATCTGATTTACAGCCTCAAGTTAGGCAGTCACTTCTTTTACCAGCTGCGACCTGAATCGAACCATTCAAGTCCCATCTGTGTCACTAATTAAAACAATAAAACAAGCGGGTTCCAATTAAGTTGTTTTGAAAACAAATAAATATAGTTGGGTGCATGACAGCTTGTTGAGTTTAGTCGTCCATCACGTTGACACATTAGGTTCTTGTGATGCTAAGACAAGATACTGCTGTCTGATGTATAGCCATAGACACAGTAAGTGATGGTTCATAAGGGGGTTATAATGAAAGGTTGAAATTTCTGTCTCTTTCATGCTTATTGTCCACACATGCTGTTTCTGTCTGATATTAATACACAGACTGAGAAAAAACTTTCTCTTTAAGTAGGCCTGCCTGATGCCTAAAAGCAAGACTGCAGCTAACTTGGCCAAGTAAGGAAGTGCATTCACAGAACTAGGATCACTTGATCTTCAAAATCAGTCAGAATTTGACCTGACAGTGTCTTGGATTGCAGTGCAATACTGATCAGTACCAACAATAACTGTGGTCTCACTTAAAGAGCGGACCAACATACCAGAACAAACTGAAAGGCAAACTGCAACTAGCATATTACAGTGTATCGCCAGCTATTGAGGCTGACATATCCTGTTATGACAGCATAAATGTTATTCTTTTGCTGACAGTTGAAATTTCACACAGTATTTTATTAAAAAAACCTTGCACATGAATTGATCAGCTGTAAATGTTCTAAATTCTTCTGTGATGCCAGCACAAAAACGTACGTTTGTTAGCTGCCATTAGTCTACAGTAAGTTGGCCTACAGAAGCACTGCTTAGTCATAAAACTATTGTAACTAAAAGTAGTGACAGGCATGGTACCAAAGCTAGTCCTAATTCAGACTCAAAAGCTCCAGGCGCTCCACACAGAGGACGTTTGGATCAACTGCCCGCAATTTGGCTCCATTTCAATCAGGAGAAAAGTGAATATTTAGAGATGTGTTGTTCCTGGAGACGGGACCTTTGCTTTGACGACCGTGCTGGAATGGTATTCTCGGGGTTTGTTCCAGACTTTCACCTGACTGTCTTTTTTTTTCTCTTATCCTTCTTTCTTTCTCTTTCTCTTTGTCACTTTTGAGTAAGGTAGTTTTCATGGCTGTGCAGTGTAGGGTGAACAGGCTAGTGAAAGCTGCTCAGGATGGCGCAAAGCCTGTTGGCAGGGTGGTGCGCATCATGGTGATGAATGACACCAATGACATCACGCCACAACATTCATCGTGGCAGCTGTTGCCAGGCAGCAGCTTGTTCTTGTCAGACTGTTAACTTACAGGCTCCCTCTCTCTCTCTCTCTCTCTCTCTCTCTCTCTCTGCTCTCACTCACACTCTCATTCTTGCTCACTTTCTGTTTCTGGTAAAATTCAATTTATAAGCCTTGCTCAATTCTGATTTTTCGCCTGGATTCCAATCTTTCTGCCTTGGAGGTTCACATTAAAATGAAAAAGTGACCCATATCTGTCATTAGTGTGAACACATCTAAGTGAAAAAAATTAAAAGCACAAATTCTTATCTGACCCATCTCATTACATTTGCATGGCTGTGTAGCATGTGCATCTGATTTAGGAGCACATGAAAGTGGCACCAGTCTAATTTGTAAAGGATACAATTTTTGTGTTCACACATTCCTGTTAGTAAGCCAAATTTAAAAACTTTAACCCTGTAAACGGAACTCTGTGTCATTCACATTCTCCACAGCCTTGAAATCTGAGGGAGACGACTACTACATTAATGGTGCATGGACCATCGACTGGCCTCGCAAGTTTGACATTGCAGGGACAGCCTTTCACTACAAGAGGCCTGCAGATGAACCCGAGTCTCTTGAGGCACTAGGAGCCACCACAGAAAATCTGGTTGTTATGGTATGTGTACTCAAAAAAGAATGTATGTTATGGTGTCAATAATATGACTTATATGGATGAGGAGTATGGAGAGGTTAACATGCTGAACTAGAAGTGGGTACTCAGTCACAAATTAAAGCACCCATTTACCAGAAGATATTTGCAAACTATGCACATACAGAAACACACACATACACAAGAGCCAAGGGAGGAGCGGGGTGTTTTGAATGCACTCTGTTTGAAATTGTCTGGCTCACTCTAAATAAAGTCCACATCTGTGCACAAACCTCACTTGAACTCTGGCTCGTGGTTTTAAGTTAACAGCTATATATGTGTGCACAGAAAACCTCTGTCTGGCCAAATGTGAACACTCATGAGCACATTTCAAACTGTGGGTGTGTATGTGTGCTTTTCATGCTGAAAAGTCCTGCTTCTTGGGATTTTTTTCTTGGGACAGAAGAGCTGGAAATACCAGCACAACTACAAAACACACAAGTGGTCAATAGACCGCAAACCTTTCCTCTGTGGCTTACATTCATTAGCATGGCTCTTCTTTGAATAACTTAACACGCATGTACACAAAATGAACATTATAGAACAATACTAGTCTTATTTATGAATATAGTCAGAAATAAAGAAAACTGTTTTGTTTGCTATTTATGTAAAATACTACTATAAAATCAGCCTTTACCCAAATCTTTATTTTCAAATGCAACAGCATGTCTGGAAGTGACAGTTATGCTGAGCTTCTCCTCCATTTGTCTCCAGGTGCTGCTGCAGGAGCAGAACCAGGGCATCCGCTACAAGTTCAACGTACCTATACAGCGCACTGGCAGTGGGGATAATGAAGTGGGCTTCTCTTGGCACCACCTGCCCTGGTCTGAGTGCTCCGCCACCTGTGCAGGAGGTACGCCACTCACAAACTAGCACCTTATGTGCACACTAGCAGGTGGAAATTCAAGTGCTGACTGAAGAGCAGTTGAAGCCTAATTATTTTTGCAGGAAAGATACTGTAATGTAATTTGTAAGGGGTCATAGCCCAGACAAACATGTTTGCTTTAGGTAACAGGTGCCACACACAGTAACAATGATAACACGCCACATTCCCATGTCTGTTGGCAGATTTTGTTATTCCATTAGCATGTGGGTTACATATCTTGTCAGTGATCATTTCAGTTTCAGTACCTCCCCAGGTTAAACTAATCCAGCTAAAATAGGGCTTGATACCTGTTCAACAACGCAAAAAATGTGAGCCTGATCACAAAAAGCATTTCATATTTCATATGTGTAACACTAAGCTAATCACCTATTCTTCACCCACCTCACATTGACACTTATGATATAGCTTACTGTACACGCTGTTACACATGCAATGATCTGATATATTATCTTCTCCTCTTCTGCTTTGCTGGGGCTGCTATTGTACAAATTGCGCCGCGAGCAAAGGCCGGCCTCCGATTTCAAGATTTGAAAGCCAGAACCACACATTAATGTGAGCCCTCACCTCAAATATGACCAGACTGCTCTGCCTGGCCAAAATCAAATGGCTTTCTTACAACAACAAATAGTTTTCCTCCTTGCTTTTTTTTCTCAAGCTGTGGCCACTGAAAACATTTGCAATTCTTGCAATATTCAGGCAAAAATGCAAACATCGCAGACTGGTCTGCAGTGGGGAGTTTCGCCACTATGGACTGTGTGAAGCATGCCATGAACCCAACCTCATTTGCCGCCCAGTTCGTGTGTGCACATTTCAGCTAATATGAAAATACCCCAGAGCAACACTTATGTCATTTGCAAAATGTTTTGTTGTTAATGTTCCTTATTGGCTGCATTGAACTCCTTCTCCTGGCAAAGTCCTGCTGCCTTTCTTGATGTTAAAAGCTATAAAGTTCTGGAGTATTCTTTTTAGGAATTACATCGGACTTTCACTACTCCAGATGCTTGGCTTTGGTTTGCCTATTTTCACACCACCATCAGATTTCATTGGTGCGAGTTTGAAAAAGGGTTTATTTAAAGGCTTATTTAGGACAATATCCGTAATAGCTCTAAACCACAAATTGATGTCAAAAAGAATCTTTTTTATTGCATTATGGCTTTGGGTCTGGGACACGCAGTGGGCAGTCTCAACTATCAAGCCCAACTATCAAGAGTTCTCCCGTGAAGCCTGGATTCAATACAATTTCACTCTCTGATTGGCTGCACCCACCACTTGCAAAGGAAGAAGGCAGTCAGAATCTGACTGACTTGTATTATAGGTTTGTATTATAACTGTCAATCAAAAAGCTGATGTTTGAAATATTTACCACTTTTCAGTGACACGGTCTGTGTGAGTAGGCTACACCATGGGTTACACCTAACAAACTCTTGCATGTTATTTTAAGCAGCTTTGTGGATGCTCCTGTGAATGTCACTTTTTTTTTAATGAGACATTATTCTGTCACAGCTGATAGAAATACAGCTACATTTGAAGATGGCTGCACTAGTGGACGTGTAAATCAGCCTCACAAGGTGGCCTCGTAGGCTGGTCAGGCTTGGCATAAGCCAGGCTTAACACTACTCCTCCAGTTCCTCCCGGGGCACCGTGCGGCTGTTGCTCTGACGGCTTCTGGTGCTGAGTATACACACTGCGGAGCTGGCTCATACCCGCACTGTTCTAACTCCCACTTTACGCAATCAAGAGCCAAAGAAAAGAAGGGCTTCTCTGTAAAAGTCATTCACCAAGACACTCACTGAAAACCGAGGCATTTACACACCTAGAAATACCACTGAGGGGAACATTATCCAGCACCCATCCTTCCCCAGCACAGAGCACTCTGTCAGCGAGTGGCCCTCTAGAGGAGCCGGAGAGAGCTTGTTTTACTGTGCACACCCCCATGCTGACCACACGCCGTTTTACACGCCAGCTGCTGAAGTGTCAGAAACTGGCCGCCAAGTGCAAGAAGCAGAGGCAGAGAAATGAAGTGACGTTTCATTGTCTGTTTGCAGGCTCTCAAAAACAGGAGGTGGTTTGCAAGAGGCTGGATGACAACTCGGTGGTCCAGAACAGCTACTGTGACCCTGACAGCAAACCCCCAGAGAATCAAAGGCCCTGCAACACAGAACCTTGCCCACCTGAGTAAGTATCATAGCCCCTAACTTTATCCATCACCGTACTCTTATTCAGTTTCCACAACATTTTGCATTTTCTAAACTTCTTTGTAGCTACTTTTGCCCTGGGACTAGTTCCTAGTTAAGGACACGACAGTAAAGTAAGGCTCAACCTGCTAAAATGGATGTGAACAACATTTTTGGAAATTACTTTCCAATAAAATGGGCTTATTTATTTTCAAAAAGCATTTATTCAGCTAATACAACCTGTGATATTTGATTTATCTTCATGGCAGAGTTCAAAACCATTCACACTTCACCTGCTTTGGGGAAACTGTTTAAAACGAGGCAGCATGATTTATTTCTTGTGATTTATTTCTTATGTGTGAACTATTCAAATGTATATTCAAGCCAAAAACCTCAGTATTGGAAAGAGAGAGAAAAAGTGACCACCTGCGTTTAATTGTATTGGCCAGTCAAGTTTATGAACTCTAGGGACAATATCCATACATGTATGGAAAATGCATGTGTAGCAGGGGCCAAAAACATTTAGCCTCTCGTTTTCAATGGGGCGAGTAGTCAAACAGAGTTCAGTCAGGTGTGTGAAGTTTAAATCAAAAAAAGCCTGGATGAAGTGTTTTTGGCATCTCTGCTCCAGCGTACTGCCAGTGGAAGTATAAGTCAACCTGAACTAGTCGATGGGCATCACTAATAACACCATCTAAAGCCTATTTCCAGCTTCACCTGATGCTAAAGAAACACACTTGATGACCCTCCAAAGGGCTTAGAGTTCTTTGTTTTTGTAGAAATCTTTTTCTTATATCCTTAAAGCTAATAGTGAGGTTGTTATTGATGAATCATTTGTTATACTTGGGTACTATTTCCAATTCTTTTTTCCAGATGCAGTCTATTAAAGCATTAGTGCAATTTTATTAAATGACTAGACTAAATAAACTGAAAACAAAGCAATTAATTTAAAAAACCTAGTTGAAATTTGTACTCTTCTTAAAGAATGTGGTAGAAAAATGGGAATGCACAACTGTGCTACATGGTTGTTTATATCTATACTTATCAAAAATGCTACCAAGTACAACAAATGTGTTTTTTTTTTTTAGATGGTTTATCGGTGACTGGACAGAATGCAGTAAAACATGTGACGGAGGCATGCGCACACGCACAGTTCTCTGCATCCGCAAAATTGGCCCAGCAGAGGAGGAGAACCTGGAGGACAGCCACTGCTTGACCCATCGACCAATTGAACGCGAGTCCTGCAACAATCAGTCCTGCCCACCACAATGGGTGACCCTGGATTGGTCAGAGGTGAGAGTAATCATCTCTTATTATTCTTTTACTATTTGTTTCCTAATTGTGTCACAGCTCAGAGATCAACATTAGACAACAGAGATTATCATCAGAGATAGAGATCATTATTAGATAACTAACTTACTGCACATTTGGAAACTTGGCTGTGCACAGGTTAGAATTTTCCCTGCTTTGAAAGTAGGGATGCATCAATACCAGTACTTTAATCGGCCTGATACCATGCTCATTTACTTGTACTCGACCTCATAAAAGTCATAAAAATGCACCGATACTAACATCTGATACCAGCTTATACCATGTGACCAAAGCCAAGTTAGTGTACGATACCGCACTACTGAACAAATAACTCAAGCTACAAGTCAAGACACATTTGCTACCAAGGTTTGTATAATCTGACTTTACTCTGTTTGACTGAATAGAATTGCTAGATATAAACATTATTATTATTATTATGTTGATTTTTTAAACTGTGTTTGTAAAAAAGGCTGTACAGAGACTGTATTGTCCTATCATGTATATTTCAGTGCACAGTGTGGTTAGGTGAGCTGCTGAATCACAGTTTCTCTGTGTTTGCTCAGTACTCAGTGTGCAGCATGTTATTTTGAATGGAGCAGCTTTATTGGAAATTGTCCACAGACAGTGCTGTCTGTTGGGTGCTGCGTTTCACAAAGCATGTCAATCAGATGGAGCGTTTTCGTACAGTGTGAGTATATGAATCATAGGCTTCGTCTGTACATGATGGTCTATTGAAATGTACAGTGTGAGTCACTAAAGAACAATATTGTTTGGCTTTAGAATACATTTAACTACAGCTTAACCAGCCAAGACAACTCTTCACAAGTGAGCTCCTTGGCTGCATTAGCTTCGAAAGTGCAAGAATCAAAACTATGAAACATACTTTACTTACAGCTGTACAGAAGCTTTTTTTGTCTTTTGAGGTGGAACAAAACCTGCTCTTCTTCACTGAAACGCTACTTGATCCAAGGTAACTATTGTAACATAGCTAATGAACATCATTTAAAATCAACTACATTTTAATGATTTTATTAGTAATTGCAATCATTTACACTAAAAAAAAACAATTCAGTAGTTAGGTAGGTAATTAATTATGAAATCAGACACATTATCTGCAAGTACTAAAAAATATGTACTCGTATTCAGTCTGAAAAAAATGGTACTGATGCGTTCCTAATTAAAACAGCTAATTAAAGTCATTATAATGACTGACACCCTGGAATTAAAATCACTCAGATTTTTCAGTCATTTAAAGTATTGTTGAATTAAACATGCCTTGCTTCTTGTTTTTGTATGTTTCTAGTGTACCCCAAAATGTGGCCCTGGCTTCAAACACCGCATTGTTTTGTGTAAGAGCAGTGACCTGACCGAAACCTTTTTACCAGGCAACTGTTCAGACCATAACAAACCTCTGGTGCGAATCCGCTGCAGTTTGGTTCGCTGTCCACCACCTCGCTGGATCCCTGGAGAGTGGGGACAGGTAGGCTAATATTGTTTTGCTTAATAGAAGTATCTGCTCTGCTTTCCTCTTAACAACATTTATCTACTGACATAGATTGGTACATACTTTTAATTTGTAAGTGGTAATGATGTTGTATATAGGAATCCTGAGTGGTGCACTGAAAAAACTGACAAACAACAAAGAAAGCAAAGTTCATCTAAACTGTGTTATGTCCAGTCAGTCCAGTCCATGCAGTTATTCACTGAGTGTCCAAAGAGTCATCTAACAAATGAAATGATTAGCGTTCTTTGCTAAGGGTGCTGAGGTACTGTGAGCAGCACGGGTTTTCTGGTGGGTAAAGAAGACAGTGTCAGATGTCAGTTATAGACAAAGTATATGCACAGTATGTAAAATATGCTTCTGGTACTGAGGGAGAGATGGAGAGAGTGTGTTTCTTCATTTGATTCTGGGTTTGTTTGACACATTGTCGCAGGTTTGTTTTCAAACAGGACGATTTCTTCTGAACCGTGGGCCCATGCATCACTCCTTTGGGCTCACGGTTTTTGCAAAGTGGTAGAAAATAGGTTCAGTTATAGTAAAAGGATAGCAACTGACAATGGGTTTTTACCTTTTTTATTGTTATGTTCCTTTGGCAGTCTACCAACACTCAAATGGTGATGAACAGCGGTTACTGGATGTGTGGCATGTCCTTGTGCATTACCCTGCAAACAAGAAGCTCTCCTCACTTTGAAAAAGACATACTCTTTTTGCTTAACTCTTATTACAAGCCCTCGCACCGCTTTCCTTGCCTTGTTTCCGCCATTTTAAAAATTGAGACAGGGAGTTCTGTGAGCAGATGGCTTTCGTACACACTGAGGACTGCACCAGCTTCAAGCAGACCACAGACCAGAGAACGGTTCTCAGCACAGCTCCTGGCACTATAAAAATGCTCTAGTGTGAAAACGCCCTTCACTATGTTAAGGTTATACCCAGAGATACAGAAAGGGTAAGCATAAAAAATAAAATGGGATGCTATATAGAGCTTTTCATATTTTAACATTTTTACAACATAACATAACTTCATGTTGTACCTGTTTCACATAATGTCAAAAGTCCAGTTCAGCATATCTAAAAGAGGGATCGGCATCCAGTGCATCTTTCCAGAGGACACAGACAAAGTATGGGCTGTTTCCAGACAGTGTGTAAAAGAGCATGTGTTTTAGTCAACAGTCAGCAGAATTTACACTCCAATGATAAAGTGGGGGCTCTAGGGAGCCAGTGACGCGCGTGCCTGTGAGTGAGAGAGAGCCAAAGAGGCCAAAAGTGTGGAAGTGGTAATAATATCGTCCATGTTGTTTGAAGTTTATCTCAACTGTAGACAAGGCATCTCTGTCAATGCCAAGAACATGTTTTGAAAAGGAGACAAAAGATAGTGCGCTTAGATTAGCCCTGTGACTGCTTCCCTATGCAGCTCAGGACACGTTCCAAAACTGTGCAGTCAGCAAAGCAAGGATGGTGTTTTATTGCAACCTAAAACGGCAGCTCCCTTTTAAAACTGAAGCATGACTTTTATTTCAAAAACGTACAGAAAATTAATATTTGTTCTTTTATTCAAAGTTTAAATGTTTCCAACAGATATAGGGAAATCAAGGCCTGGTAGATTTCATTAGATTTTCTTCTAAATTATTAAGTGTAATCAGTATTGATAAACTACAGCAAAAGAATTTGATTAATTTTTATTGTTTGACACTCAAAGAAACCAGTTAGAAGTTACTTTGTTGAAAATAGTTTGTATGTTTTTATTAAAGATAATTAGCAGTTGTCTGACTTTCAGATTACATAGTGTATACAACTTTATGCAGCAGCTGACACTTAAAATATGTTGTCAGTACATTAAAGGTGCAATAAAGCACCTAATAAATTATCATCAGCTTCAGATGTTCAGTGTCAAATTCTACTCTTGGCCTAAACATTAGGCGAGAGATGAGTCCCCCTCAGCTTCTAATTACTGCCAACGTCTATGACTCTCAGAAAGCGAAGATTGTTGCAGAGACCTCTGGGCCGAAAGGTCAACGGTTCAAATCCCACTTAAGGCAGCTACTGACGTATGCCATCTGTCAGGAGGCACAGCTCTAATAAAGTCCTGTTAATTTGTAAGGGATGAAATGTATGAGGCTCAGGCTGCTGGAAACTCATTTGGGATGACTGTCAGTCCTGCAGAGAAAGTCCTCCTATGTGGACGACTGAGCTCCCATCATGCATTTCTCCCTCTCACACATACGCCTCTCCAAGCCAGCATTTAGATGTCAACATTTCTAAAGTGCACGTATTACCTTACCATCTGCATGAGAGAGTAATGAGGTAAATTGTGTATTGTATTGGGTAGCTAAGCAACGACTCGTTTTTCCATTGGATCACGGCGTGAGGAGACTCCTGGAAAACCGAAAGTCTTTAACTTCAGACAGTCCTCCCCCCAACATTGACTGTCTAATACACAACAGCTGACAGTAATCCAAGATCCAATTAAACTATTATAATGACATTCCACCAGTAGCTAAGTGTCCAGTTGTGGCCTTTGGTTTCAATCCTGCGTGTCCTTAGGGACTGACCTAGGGCAGAAAGCACTACTGGGCCCGTGATAGGCCTGCAAATTATAATTATAATATATTAGATATAATAGTCCAGCTTTTTCCTGGACAGTTTGTCAAATTCTTGAGGACACACAGCCAGATTAGCACTGGGTAAATAATGAAATAATGAGGCAACAGGCTGACTCGGGTTAACCAGTTCAAAGTGGGGGGTGGGGGTCAGTCTTTTCTCACCTTTAATTGGCTCAGCTTTTCAGTGTGACAGCACAGCAATGGATGCGTGCTGATACTAAGCAGGGATGAGAGGGGAAATGCAGACTCACGCTAACCTCTGTACTGACTGGAAGGCAGGCTTTTAACTTGTAGTCCACACAGGAATATGGAGGGGGGAAAACTTCACAATACAGATATTGTATTCATACATTTTCAGGGCAAATATGTCCCAACTATTTAGAAAAAACAGAGAAAAAGAGGGCTTAACCTCTTTTTGGGAAAAGAAGTTATTAGGTCCTCTACAGGAAACAAACTTAAATGTGCCATTGTCTCCAAATTTTAGTGCACAATAAATTTTTTCTTTTTCTTAAGCTAAAATATGTACCATAACCTTTGGTCAGGCCACATTTTATGTTTTATCTTTCCTCAATATTATATTTGTATTTTATTTGTCCAGTGTTCTGCACAGTGTGGGCTGGGACAGCAGATGCGGACAGTTCAGTGTCTGTCATACACGGGGCAGCCTTCTAACGAATGTCCCGAGACGCTGCGCCCCAGCACCATGCAGCAGTGTGAGAGCAAGTGCGATGCTACCCCCATCTCCAATGGTGACGGTGAGTCCCCTACCAATCACACCAGCCAGTCCTAACCTCTGAGTAAACTAGTACCAAAAGCCTAGTACCACATTTCACTGCATTAACATATTTGTCAAGGAAGGATTTATATGGTGTAGCACCATCAGTGCTTGAATCTTCAAAATTATTCAAGTAGCCCTGTCCAGAAAGTTGACACATTGGAACACTACACCCTCTGTTAAGGCCATTCTGGAGCCTCTGTGAAACCCCTGACCACAGCTATACTTCCTTATGATGGATTGGTATTAAGATTTCCTGTATTGGGGAAACAACATTACACGAGCCATCCAAATGGACCCTAATGGGATTATCTTGCACTTAATTGTGCCTTAACGGACAGCAGTGACGGAATGTCTGCTTTTCCTCTGCTCTCCCCAAGCTATTTAAGGAGCCTAATAAGGGAAGACACTCTCATCGTGATAAGGCAGTTAGGACCCTTGGTGCTTGGCTACACAGATGGCAGTCTGCCTGGGCTACGAATCAGGCTCTGGGGTCCCTCTCCCCACCTCTCTTGCTCTTTTTGTCTCTCCACGTCTCTGTCTGTAAAGATGGTGTGATTACTCTGAGAGGCTTATCGGCAGGCCCTGTGCTCCAGTCTGCTTGAGGGAGGATTCAGAGCGCTGTGCTTTGCGTAATGGTGGTCCAACAGTTGTTCAGTGTCGCCCGTTATTTATTCCAAGCTACACATACCTAATTTGAATACCTGATTAGGTAAACAAATACTGAGTTTGGATATCCAGTTATTCAAGTAAAAACGGCCATCCCTGGTAAAGACTTCTGCCACCCAGAAGAGACAGAAATGAACATTTATAAAGGCTTTTTCCTCACAGCTTTTAACACCTGTGCTGTATGCAAGACTTTTGTTCAAAGTAATGCTTCTCAAACTTCCAAAGAGACAGAGAGAGAAAGAACAATGAAAGTTAGGCACAGGCCAAATGGTAATACATACTCTATAACTTCACAAAGGGACAGGCAGGTAAGATTTATAGGAGTCGGTAATTGCTGTCTGAGCTGTAGGATAGCATTTGAAATGAAGAGGATCCAGAGTCCAGAGCAAAGCATTCCTTGGTGATGGTGAATGAAAAATGGACCGCTGCCCATGCAGTGATTACTGTCAGGTTTCCAACACACCTGAACTAAAAGACCTAATATGCAGACTAGCAACATTAATCTACTATTGAGAGCCTATGCTGTAGGCAACTTTGAAAGAAATTAATCTTTGATTCTGTGATATATCCAAAAAACGTAATGTTGCTGTTTGATTTCTGGTACTGAAATACAGTTATGCCTCATTTTAAATTTAGGCATGAATAGGACAAAGTGGTAGTAGTCTTTGGAATGGTTAGAGCTGGTTTATTAGGAAGCAATGGTCACGACATCTACAAAGCAAAGGTAAACATTTTATTTAGTAACCAAAACAACCAGTGTACATACACACGTAGGTGAAAAATATGTTTTCTTTGCGTACTACTGCCTGCATGTTGCCAAAAGCTGATGGCAAAATGTTCATAAACCAGTGTCGCAGGTATCAGGCAACAGATTTGCAACCACTTATTATAATAACTTTCTGTGATATAGCTCCTAGAGACATTAAACTATTCTGGTTCCTATCGTCTGGTTCCTATCACCATCATAGTGAAAAATTCTGACCTGGTAAGTTTATCTAGAATGACATATTTCACATTAAACCACTATCAGAATCAGCATGTTTACATCAAAATTACTGAATCAGGCAGAAATTAGTAGTTTGCACAGTGCTTAAACTGGTGGATGTAAGCTTCTGTTACTTGTTAGCTACATTAGCCTGGTAGCTTCAGTGCAAAACTAAAAAAGTAAACTTCTGACACCAAACATCTTAGTTGATCAACTACATCTGGGGAAAGGGGCAAGGGAAAGAGTGAACAGGCAAAACGGAGTAATAGTGGAAGAGAAGGCAGTTGTGGAGGGTAAAAGTCCCGACTAGAGGTAAATCCAGCAGCTTCTGGGTTCTGTATCAAAGTACTGCCTGTGTCACTGTCCCAGAGAGACTTGCCTATCATCCACACAGGCTCTACTCAGAAAAAATTACCATTTTCCCCCATTGCATACTTGTTTTGATCGCTTTATCCAGTCCTTCACTCATATTTTTAACTTCCCTTTCTCTTCCTTTTCCTCCCCTAGAGTGCAAAGATGTAAACAAGGTGGCATATTGCCCACTGGTGCTGAAGTTCAAGTTCTGCAGCCGTGCCTACTTCAGACAGATGTGCTGCAAGACTTGCCAAGGACACTGATCCTACGGAGAGAGAGAGAGAGAGGGAGAGAAGACGCAGAGGAAAGGGAAGCGTGTGTGAACGGATACAAAGAAAAGCAGTCATGGGCTAGAAGAGCAGCACTGGGAAAAAGAAAAAGCTGCCTCCCTCTCTCTCTCTCTCTCACCAACACACACATACATACACTCCTGCTTTTTTAGACCTGTGGAACCCATACCACTGGTCAGCAACATGCTGACACATTTTGCTTTATTTTCACTTCTGTGAAGTTGGACCTTGAGAATATGATCATTATTGTTGTTATTTTATTATAATAATAATTATTATTGCTGTTGTTATTATTATTATTATTATTGTTATTAATGTCTGTCTGTTGTAATCCAAAGTGCTGGACACATCATTTGCAGAGGTGGCACCACTGAGAATAGGTTCACAATATCCAAAAAACAGAAGGCTGGGGAAGGGGGGTTTCTGTCTCACACACATATACAAACACACATGGCTGTTCTCCACTGCAGTAGAGTACAGATGAATCCCAACTATCTGCCCACATGATTCCTCTGTACCCAGAGTAATAATTAATTTACCTTCTAGGCTTTAGACTGTGCTGATACCAGGGGTGGACAAAATGCCAGAAACACCTGATAATAATTAAGTAGATATAAAAAGAGTAGGATCACTCTTCGCATTCAGTCTTGAAATGTTGTCATACATGTCCCAAAACATGTTGAGAGATATTAGGGGCCCCCAGTTTGATTCACAATACTCACGATCATGATTGAATATTCTCAGTGTTTTAATCAAAATATAAATGAAGAAAAAAGATGACTGTATCTAGTTCTTCTAATAAAACTAGAGTGGTCACCCTGGGTGCTAGAACTGTGGCATATGACATGAAGATGCTGGAGTGGGTTGTTGATTAGTGCTGGTCATGAGCAACCTTTGGTGTTCAAACAGCACAATCATATTAGATATCGCAGTTAATAGACTGCCTGTTCTCCAGGATGCATTGTCACATTTCCACAGTGCACCCAGTCACATCTTTGCATTGCAATATCATAATGCGTTAATATACCCCTAGAGCTATAGGCTCCTTTCTGTAGGAAGAAAAGTCTCCAAATCCTTTGAGGGATGAATGAGTCTACTGAGAAGTCTACTTGGCTCACTTGACTTCATCGTTATGTTCATGAAACACTGCCCCTCTGCCCTCCCTTGAATTTGTTTAGTACTGTGTTTGGGGCACCATAAGTTGCACCTGGTCCTGTAAAATAGACTCATATTACTTTTCCATTATACAACTGTGCAGAGCAATCAGCAGCCCTAATGACTCCTACAAAGCTGCCCAACGCATTACAAATCCTCTATCATCTTTAAGAGTTGGACACAGACATTGTGGGTTGAAGGCATCCTCCAGCTTTCTCCAAATGTAAACACGTCCAGATGTAGGACAAAGACTGAAAGATGACACTTCAGACTATATTACTTCTCCCATTTAAGCATGGCTCCAAGTTTTGTTCTTCTTGCACCAGTTTTTGTGTGTCTGTGCGTTTGGCCTCTTTGGAACTCTGTTAGTTGCCTCACGTTGCTTTGAAAACTCTCATATCAAAGTGTTGATTGTCAGACCTCTTTTATAGCCAACACATTAGGCAAATTGGCATTCAGCTTAATACAATTCACATGTGCCTGTACAACTTTGGTTTAATTATTTCCAAGTTCGAGTCCTATTTTCATGTGTTTCTGTTACTCTGTCCACCTCCAGTAGTACAGCCCATCATTTTATCACTAAAAGGGAGACCCCAGCAAATTTATGACAACAAACATGCAGACAGATTGCCTGATAGTTAGCTCTACATGGGTCCAGTCCATCACCTCTGTGTGGTTTCCATTATTATAATTAAGAAAACTAATGGACTGGTTACATAAACGTTAGCCACAAATCACATAACTGGTAAAAACGATTTAGATGCAAAGGCTGCTTGGAGAAAAAGGTGCCTTTGGTGCTCGTTTGGAAGTTGCGTCTTGTGCAGGGGAAATCAGTTTGAGCTGGAGACTCCAGATGTTCCAGCATTGCGAACCACCTGTTTTGCTTAGCCGTATCACATGACTACAGGCCAAAGAATTCCACCATTGTTTGTGACACTTGAACAAGGCCTGAAAATCACATTAGACAGTAAAGTAGGGTCTGCTAGGCCAGCCGCAGCTTCCAACTTAACTAACTCAAACAAAAAAAAAATATCCATTTGTGGTTTATTTGAGCTGTTCTTTTTGAGAATGTTAAGCTGTTATAGATATTAATGATATTCACTGTTCTCCCATTGTACTGTGCAAAGCTTAGTTTGAATGGCCTGGCTCTGATCATGCATTTTTGTGTGCTACAATGAGTTCTGTAAACCCATTTGAATCGGGAAACATCCAGAAGCAATAGCGCTGACCCCCACGCACCCCCCAGAGGACTGGGTCAGTATGTGAACAGCTCCGTCGTGGAGCTCAAGTGCTACGTCTTCCGTTGTCCACGACTGGAGTTAAGCGAAGGGCCAGCGGCTGGACGAGACGCCAGAGCACGCACATATCCGGTCTGCCACTGACTACCTCCAGAGCCGTCCCCCCCCCACCCCCCTCTTCCCAACCCACTCTGTAAACACACTCCGCACAGCCCTCCAAGCTCAATGGTGCTTTTCTTCCTCCAGTGGAGGACTGTTCCACTGCCCTCCTTCTGCTCACCTTCTGGAGTGGGAGGTTCCTTTCACCACTCTGGTGGGCTCTCACACTAGCATACACAACAGGAAATTAAATGAAACTCTTGTTTTCTTCCTTTTTTTTTGTTTTTTAACAGTCAATGTGGTTAATTGGTTTACCTCACACTACACTGAGCTGGTTATGCAGCTTCCATAAGCATCCATCCAGCTCTCTGTATTCAGCAGTGTTCCGTCAACCGCACCCAAGTCTAAGCAAAGGGAACGTCACACCTGGAAGGTTTCAGCTGCCTGAACATGAGACCTCATACAACATACGAGACGCAGACTCAGATTGTGAAGAAGCTCAGAGGAGTAATGGGATAATCGTTCCAGACCACAGCTGTCTCAAACCATTTCTGATCAAACCGTGCTACTTTTTGCTGCTGCTACTACGTTGTAGCCACCAATACAATGTTAATCAGTTACGTTTTTATTATAAACTCTGTGAACTGGGACTTAAACGGCAGTGAACTCTTGAGCAGCCGAACCGTGAGGCCCCGACATGCCGGGCATCAAAATCCTGAGGCTTGAAGAACAAGTTTACTGGCTTTGGGACAAGGAGGCTACAGAAGATTCTCAAACAGGACATAACGAAACTGGTACTCATCGCTGTGAACTTGTCTTTGAATGTCACATTGCTTAACCTGTACCTATAGAAGTGAGCATTTTTGCATTTTTGGCGATTAGTTGCTTATATTTTATACTCAGTATTAATGTTGGTACACTGTTACTAATTTTTTTTTCAATTGTAAATTATATGCTAATTTATTTCTGTGTGTCACTTGTCGTACATATGTTTCAAGGCATGCAAACTGAAATGTAGCCTAGTGGAAAGAAAGAAACACGCAGTCAAATTATTCCCATCTGCAATTTGTTTTAGTGTAGAGAAGAACGTGAACTTCAATGGGTCTTAATGTGCTACCAGATCACCCTTTCAAAATGTGTCCAAATACTTTTGTGTCCTCCAGACTGTATGAATGTGTGTGTGCGTGTGCTGGTATGGTATTACGTCTTGTCCAAGAGGGCCAGTCCAGAGAAAAAATATTCGTTAATGTTTTCAGATGGTAAGGAAAAAAAAATTCCCACAGTAACCTTAACAGTCTCAGTCCTTTGGCTTGTACACTATTATTGGTGAATCCTACCGTATGTAATGGATCCTGAATAAAGAGAATTTAAAGGGTCAGTGTTACTGAGGATGTTCTTTTCCTGAAAGCTTTGGCTGTGGTTGGACTCAAATGGCTTACTTGGCACGGAGACCGTGGTACCTAACGATGATACCTGAAAACTTTTTTTTACCACTGAAAAAGACAAAGGCCCATTCTATCTTAATTCTTCAGTGTTTTAGAGGTCCAACCTTTAAAACTACTGTGGACCTCTAGCTGTAATAGACATGCATTTCTTTAAAGAAGAATCCCTAATGGTAAACAGGGGAATATTTTCTTGTAAAATCAACTTTAAACATTCCTTTCTCATGTCATGTAAAACTGAATCATGTTTACGTGAGCAGGCGCACGATTAGGAGGCCTCGCAAATGCTGAATGCTCTCCAGCCGTAAATAAAGCTTTTGCTCCAACTCCTGGCTAATTTATTCAAAATAAACACAATCTACCCCACTTGGCTCAGGTTAGTGGAGCTGAAACTCTGATGAGGAGCTCTGGGTTGCAGTCATGCTGTTACAGACCTGTTTTGTCTAAAGATACCAGTTTAGAATACCTGAGTGTCTGGCCCAGCTTCTGTCCTGCTTGCAAGGCAAAGGGTAAGAGGGAGGGGATGAGAAAAAGAAAAGAGGGGAAAGAGAAGCAAAAAAAGACAATAAAAAGAAGAAAGAGAGATGAGGGAAAGAGTGAAAAAAGATGGGAAGAGAGAAAGATGGAGTGAAACAGAAAGAAGGTGAGGGGGTTCACAATGCCTCAGCAGCTGGGCTCCAACTGTCAGCTACGATTCCTCTGTTTACATGTCAGCTTCGAGCACAGCCACAATAAAGACAAAGCAAGATAGCCGAGGCACTCGGCCCGAATCAACTCCATGTTTTATCTCTCTGTAAACTACAGGGATTCACTCAGATGTGAGAAGAAATAATGAGGCTATGCACTGAGTAGTACGCTTGGGTAAGCCTTCCTGTGCTTCGTGAAGTCATGATAAAGCTATTCAATGCAATGCTTATGTAAACAGATGTCAACAGATTTGCTGTCCTCAGCTTACTTTTGTAAACTGCATTGAGCTCTTTCCACACGCATAGCGATGGAATGATGGTGTCCCCACTGCCATTAGAAGAAACGTGTTCAT